AATTTATTATTAATAGGACTGAAATAATTATTGAAATAACTGTCAATTAATTTTGTGATCGATTAATCGTTAACTGGAGTATTGTGACTCTAAAACATGCCTTTAGCTGACAAAGCAACTCTATTAGAGCAGTAATTATGTCAAAATTATAAAACAAAAAAATTTGCATTTAAAATACATTAACCCTATAATGCCAAATGTATCGTATTTGATACATACGGTTTCTGAAATGTTTTGCATCTGACACCTTTTGAATAATTTAATGGTAAAAACTTTGCTCAAAATCCTAATGTACACAATCAGATATACCTGATAACAGCCAGTAGAAGACTACACAAAAAAATAATCTTGACTTATCGCATAGTAATAAATTATTAATATCAAAAATGTATTTCTGTTTTTTCTTTTTACATATTTTGTCAAAAGGGCAAATAAGGACTTCAAACCCCCAAAAAAAAGGATTTTTCTGTTTTGTTTTATTCTTGGATAAGGCTTTAAAGGGTTAAAACATTTTTCCATCTGCTAATATGCGCTACCCAGAACTCCTCAAGTGGAAAAGTTTTAGTTTCATCTGGTTTAAATCTGTAAAAAAGTCTTCTTTGAGGAACCTTCTGTTTTTAAATTATTAATCAAAGCACAAATCGACAGATTAATTGATTGAAAAAATAATTGTAAGTCGCAGCCCTGATTATTAATGCAGCTGACAGTCCTTTAATAAGTTGAACATCTTTTAGATGTATTCATTGGGTTATACATATAACATGAAGCAGAGGAATACATTTTTTCTTCCTCCATTTATATTAATATTTATTAATGTTAAGCCTCATACCACTCCAAAACTTCTCTTTTTGTGGCTTATCTCATTTGCTACCAGACTGGTACGATATCTTTCCAGGTAGCAAGGTAAGTAAGAAAAAGAAAAAACTGCTGTCAGATACCTGCTGCTCTGGTTGGTAGTTTCCATAGCAACCATTAGTAGCCATCAAAAAAGTAGGCAAGATAAGTTTGCCAAACTCACGTGATTTAGCTTGAGCTGTATATTTTGGTCAGATGAGAACTACATTTTGCTTTCTGGCAATAAAAATAAAATAAAATCCAGGTGGGTAGAAAACCCTCCCATGCCCCCACATTCAATATGATAGAGGCTCTGTGATAATGAGTCTCCATCATATCTTCTAAAGGGCCCAAGAACCTTGTTAGCATACATGGCATCAAAAAATCTTCAAAACACTGGGACTGTTAATCTAAACTACATTGAGAAAATGTTCAAACAACATAAAATCAATGAATCCAAAAGGATTGAGCTCAAATCTGGATGATCTAGATAGAGCATGTAAAGAGAAACAGTTAAAGATCACTGCATTTTATTTGCATAAAATCCAATATGTCCAATCGATGTGCTAACTTTTTGTTTGAGGAATAATATCGACAAAAAGGATAAATCTGTCCTAGCGTCGTGAGACCATCCTGATCTCGCGAGCTTTCAAGGTTTCACTCGCAGATCAGTCTGGCTACTTTCCGTTAAAGAAAATTTGGAGCCGTTCACCAAACGAACGTCCGATCAGCGTTGGCTTTGAGGCGGGTTGAGCTGTGACGCAACGAGAAGCGCTACAGTTCAGTCTAAAGAACATGGCGGCTTCAGCCGATGAAACTAGCGTTAGCGTGGCTATCGAGCAAGTTTTATCAGAATTACAGAGTATTTCTTCACTGAAAGAAGAGCAAAACATTGCTCTGGAGGCTTTTCTCAGAGGAAAAGATGTTTTTGCTCTTCTCCCGACTGGTTTCGGCAAGAGTAGCCTGGCTTGTGGTTGTGTTTTTGTCGTCGCTCTGTTACGTCATATGCTTCGTTGACCTGATTGGTTTATTTGGCCCGTCTATCACCAACATAGGCCAATCAGCTAACCAGTATTTTCGCCCCTTCCCAAAATTACTTCAACGGAAGGTTTCCAGATGGATATGCGGAGCAAATCCATCTGGCGGAGTCAGGTTAAATCTGTCCTACCACAAGCCTAAATGTATGACATTTTCAAAACACCACTGGGACTCTTTCTACTTTTCTACAACTTTGTGCTTTAATCAGATGAGACCAAGATTTGGGGAAAACATCTTCAGTGGATCTGATGTGAAACAAATGATGAAAAATGAACTCATTGTTAGGTATGGTAGGGAAGTAGTAATGCTGTGGGTTAGTTCTCCCCCAAAGACCATGAGGACCTTGCAAGGTATAGCATAGATTATTGGAACTATTTAAAGTACCAGGATATTAAATCAAATATAAAGTGAAAGTGGAAAGGCTGAAATGAAATCCTCTTAAAAAAACATCTCCTAACGACAATAGAAAATCTTTGAATTGAAGATAATAGAGGACACACAACTATGCGACAATCTAGAATCCTTGTTCTACATCTGCTTTTACTCCCTTAATAAATAATACATATTTTTTGTAAATCTAAATAACTGATGTAGAGCTTACCTGCAGCAAGAGCAAAAGGGATCAACAGTTTTTGATTCAATACTACTGCAATAAAGTTTAATATTATTTAAAGGGTTTCACCACATGTTTAATATCAGAGGCAGTATATAAGCCCTGTGTTGTACAGTATCCAAGTAAACACCTGGCTAGTATAAATTTGCACCTGTTACCTCTACAACTGCCTTTATTGTTGGCAGATATTTAACAAATTGTTAAAAACATTACTCTGAAATCGGCTCATATTGACATAAATAGCATCAATTAGTTGCTCCAGATGTATCAAGTGCATTTCTAATTTTACATTTCTTAGATCAAGATCTGGTTGCTATGGAGCCCATTAAAATACAGTGGTAAGTTTCTGATTTAAATTGAAATTGGTGGAATTTGCTGCAGAAAGGAGCCATTAGAAGAAGAGTATGATGTGGTCACAGAGGGATGATTATTATGGATGCAGCAATATGAAGATCTGGGCTGATAATTACATCCAATATTATCGCCATCATAGCAGATAACTGATATAATTTTCCTGACCACAGTGCAAACGTTACTCTGCATCAGTTAAACATCCACAATCCTGTGCTGCATTAGAGTCACTGTCACATGACCACACAGATAACACATGACGATCCCCTTCCCTCCCCCTCCTGCAACAGAAACAACATGGAAACAAACATTGGCTGTTAACCCTTTATAGGGCACTCAGTGAAATACTTTGAAAATTAAAATTTAAACCCAATAGTGTTATTGGAATCCAGGACAAGACCTTATTACTTTTGTAACATTGTTAGGAACACAGTTTGTGTGGGTTGTTTGTGTGTTTTTCTCTCTCCACCACCAGGTGGTGCACTGTCCTCATTGGCCCTTCTGCGCACCTGCGGCTCGTTGGATCATCTGGAGGAGTATTTGAGCAGTGGGCTGTCACTACCTCGAGGCCAGATTGTTTGCCAGTTTTGGGTACTCTAGCCAAGCTGAGATTAGTTGAGTCTAACCTAGCATTGTTTCTCTGAGACTTATGTTCTTTTGTCTTTGTTTCCCCGGCAGTAAGACTTCCTGTTTTACTAGATACCTGGACCTTCTCCCCCTGGAAGGAAATACCAAGTTCAAACTGAGCAGGGGAAAACCTCCACATGATCCATTTCGGAAATCCAAGTCACAGTCCGCTCCATTGCTCCTCCAGACTGGATTCAAGGACTGACAAGGCCCCTTCAAACTTCCGGTTCACCAGCTCACTGAGTACCAGATCCTACGCTACCTCAATAAACCTATTAACCTTTTCCCGTGTTCTCTGAGTGGTTTCTCTGCATGTCGGTCAGGTTTGTGAAACCGATCTTGACAAACATTAAAAAAAGGATATTTTGATGGCAAAAATTAATGTCAATGTAAGAAACACCAACTTGCCTGAATATATTAATAAAAAATACCACAAGTGCTTTTATAAGAAATTCATGAAAAACACTTTGAGAGTGAAAGAAACAATTTTTTCTTGGTAAAACATAACCTTAGAGGCATTAATGCTGATACTGACAAATTTTTTTTGTTTATAAACCTAAATATAAATGTTTAACAAGGCTTATACACTTTTTAACTTTACTTTTTAACTTTTCAATTAGCTTTTTCAGACTTTTTATTCAACTGAATTTACAGTAGGTAATATATCATTCAAGGGCTCATCTAACTGGTCAAAAGCCAAAATAAGATGCACAGCCATGTAGCAGGATCTTTGCTGAATGGCTGGATATAGATCTTGTGCTTCTAGACCTCACTGAGGGACGCCATTTGTAAGGGGTATGCAAGTGATCAAAAACATTAACTTTTCCTATAAAGGGTTAAAATCGGCCTTAATACCAATATGCTTAAAAATGTCCAATATTGACCGATACCGATTTTCATGCCGCCGTTTATGCTGATCCCTAATACGGTCAGTAACTAAGCTTGGGTATGGTGCCACATTGAAAATATGCCCAGTTAGTTCAAAAATAGAATGAAATAGAATACCTTTACCGCCATTACATTCCACCGTTCAAATGTTGCAGCTGAAATCAAAACTTTAAGAAAAACATTGAGATTTTTCCACTGACTCAAACTCAAAACACTAACCTGTTTTCGTACAATTAAGGCCTATTTAGTTGCAGTAGTAGAGGCCATTCTTAAAAAATAACCTGCAAATCTCCTTGCTGAACTTTTCCTCAGCAAAGTATCGTTCACACCCACACACACAGCAATGTAACGTGTCATTGGATTAGCTATGCAGGCATAACACTGATCTCTGAAGCGTTTACCCACAATCCTTCACTACCGTGTTATTTTCTCATAGCGCTCTCTGAGATCGAGGCCCGTAATGTGAGGATCATCATTAATGACAGGAAAGGTTGCTAGGTTTGCCAGCCTGTCATTATGAGCTCCTACCATATAATGTTCTGTCAGATTGGAGATATTAATGAGGCTGCCCTCAAAGTTAGACCAACCTGGATGCTCTCACAGAGCTGTAGTGATGAGAAAATGAGGCGTACATGTTTGGGGAACTTACTTTCTGCGTGCGCTGGAGCTAGTGTTGGTGTCTGTGCTGTCAGTGCGTTCCAGCCGGTCCCGGTCCATGTTGGAGGAACCACAGGAGAGGCCCCGTGTCAGTCGAGCGTGGCTCCTCTTTTCCCTGCTGGGACCCGGAGTTGTTGCTGATCCAGATGTAACCTGAGGCGTTGAGGTGCATCCGCCGCCGCCGCTTCCGCCGCCGCCTTGCTGGACTGGAAGGGGCAGGGGCTGGCTGTGGTTGTGGTTCTGCTCTGGAGCGTCTGACCCATGCGGACCATGCTCCAGCCTCAGGTCCTGATTTTCCTGGCTGACCCGGTCCAGCTGGCCCTCCAGCTCCTCGATGCGCCTGCGCTGCGTCTCGAGGAGCTTGGCCTGGCTTTCAATTATGTTGTTGAGCTCCAGTAGGTACTCCACGGCCCGGTTGGGGCTCTCTGGGTTGGACTCCATGATGGGAGCCCTTTGCTTTGGCGTATGACCACCACCGCCTGGAGTTTTGACCCCCCTCTCAGGGCAAAGATCCACCCTCCCCACCAGCCCTGATGAGTTGGGGGGAGGGAGGGACCAACAAAGTCTCTACTAAAGTTAACTTTAGACCTTTGGTTTTCAGAAACAGAAAGAAATTGAAGGGATTGAGAGTTTCAAAATAACTACATATCCCTAGGGATGAGGGCAAAAATCAGCATTATAACATGTTATGCCATGAGCAGGGTTTAAAGCTCAAAATGAAGCTCAGGACACTTTTGGTTGTCTGGTTTCCTGAAGTCACAGTCATTCTGACATCAACATGGAGAAGAGCCTGAGAGGTCATGATTCACAAATTACTGGGAAAAAATGGAAAATCAAAGAGAGATTGGCAGGTAGAGGGAGACACAAGGGCAAGTAATGACTAGCAAGGCTTTCTGGAGATTTCTGACAGTTTCTTTGCCTCCTTAACTGACAGATCAAAAGAGAGAGCTCCAGAGTAGATCAACTTATACTTTCACTGATGGCACGACCCTATTTACAGCTTTTAAATTAAGAGGATCAGTTTTAACCACATTGAAATGATTAATAAAAAAAAAAAAAAGCTCACTTCTTGGACAGACAGGGGAAGGGGGTGGGGGTGATGATGCCGGTTGTGATTTACCAATTTCTTATGGAGCTGTCAATCATTACATAACAGAGAAAATTCAGCGCCCTCCCACGCTGAGGGTCCCCGCAGTATATCTTCTGCGCTCTCAACCCATGATTTAAAAACGGCTTCAGAGCGCAAAAAGTAGGAAGAGTTGGATGGCGAAGTTCATCCTCTAAGTCCAAGTCCTCTCTCCCAAGGTCCGAAAAATAACAAAATAAATACAAAGAAAATATTACATCCCGGTGTTTTTAAATTCAGATCCCAAAATGCGGGTTTCTGGGGGGTTTCTTCACTCTTTTTCCAAATAAAGAAAAAAAAACGCACAAGTTGTTGCTTTAAAAGCTACCACGACTATTTTCACTGCATAGTGTCGAAATCTGAAAACGGCACTTATGTGCGGCAGCCCTTCAAGCTGATAGAAAATGTGTCTAAACAAATAAAAGCAGCTCTTCTTACTTCTGTGATCTTCAGCTGCTTCATCAGGGCAGGAGAGAAGTGATGATTTTCCTCTCAGCAGGCGGAGAGGATGCGCTGCTTGCGCGTCTCATTAGCAGGAGGGGGAAAAAACGCGTTTGGCTTCTGCCCAGGAGCGCATCTCTGGCAAGTTTACACATAAAACGCAAAAAGTCATCCGGAAGGAAATTTCAAAATAAAAGACTTCCTGTCAAACTGTCGGTAGACCGTACATAATATACAAAAAAATAAAATAGAACGAAAAAATAAAACTGATGGTAATTATTATTATTATTTTTTTTTTTTTAAGTATTACTTTAGTAATTAGTTTCCTGACCTAAAAGTTGCTCACATCTCAATTATCAGCCAGATGTTCTGGACAAGTCCAACACATGCAGGCAACCATGGGCGGTTCTAGACAGGGGCCAACGGGGGTTAGTGCCCCTGTATCAGGGGCGGAGCTAGATGGGGGGCCAGGGGTGGCCATGGCAACCCTAAGCCAATCATTGGCCACCCCTGCCACTTTTTCCCTCAAATACAGACAGTGGCAACAGTAGTACTGTCAAGTGTAATATTGAAACCATTTTAACTTTTCATATATTAACATTTACTTGACAACAAAGACACTGTGGTTAATTATGCATATAAATATACTGAAATTAAAGATAAGTACATAATTTATGCTCTTTTTAGAACTAGATTTTGTGTTATATGGGGTAAAGAGAAAATTATGTGTCTCTGCAAGTCATATAGGAGTCTCCCGTGAAATCATAGATAAATAACAATTTTAATAAAAATGTATTTAATTTTCAATTTATGTAGATATTTTTACTTGTAAATATCACTGTTTTTGCAGAATGATTATTGCTGATAATAAGTAATGACAATGGAACAGATGTTAGGCCCCAGAACTTAAACCTGAAAGAATTTTATCCACTATATATGCGTCTATTTGTTAGCAAAGGCTGTAGGAACGGATAGTTTACCCCTTTTATGGCCTCTGTACTGAAAACATTTCATCTGCTAAATGTTTTATTCCAAAAAACAAATTTAAAAAATACAAACATTTTTGCAGCTAAATTTATCAGTTTTTCTTGAGTTCTAATTCAGATTTTATAGAAAACGATCATTTTAACTTAAATTAAGTCAGAAATGTGTAAAATTCCTAAATTATGAATTTATATTTACCTAATAAAATTTTTTATTTCAATTGAACCTAATTATATAGAAATTTTACTTCATGCAGCTTTCTTAATATATTTGAACCCCTTGCCCTGTTTTTTATTTCAGGCTTTTCTGTGCCAACATAAAAACATGCTGGCCCCTTCCTGGCCCCCTGGTACATTTGGTCTAGAACCGCCACTGGAGGTAACCTTACCAAAACTAGGTATAGCCTAATTTTAAGCTCATACTCTGCAGTATACTTAATATAAGTTTATTGAAAAACTTTTTTTTCTACTTTCAAGTAGTTTAGGTGTAAAACCTTCTACGTCTACTTATCGTTTGAAATTAACCATATGATTTAGTGAATAATATACTTCTACTGACATAATCTTGATATACCTGGAATGTTAATTTAAGTATAATTCAAAGTGTATTTCAGATCCTAAAAATACATTTAAAAGTTTATTACATTTAAACTAAAAGTGTATCTGGAAAATTTCATACCGTGTTCTTTAAAACTAAATTTAAACTGGGATCATTTAGTCCCAGGAGGTGTGTTTCCTATTAAACTTCTAGCATACTTGTATCGACAAACTTGGCAAACTTGGGAGAAGTACTTTTGAATACTTGAGTAGGCAATATTTGAAAATAGGAACTTAAAGTATTACTCATTTTGGTAAGTATACTTATAGGTACTTTGAGCTTTAGTATGAAATGAATACAGTGCAAAGTCTAATCTATAAATAAGTAAAAATGTCTTGAATCAGCCTGTTTTTCATTAATTTTAGATATTCTGCAATTGAATAAAGAATTGTTTTATTTTGATTATTTTGAGCATAAATCCTCTTATTTAACCAGAAAATTGTCTTACTTACCTTATAAACTCAAGGAAAAATACACTTCAATAAAAATGGACATCGATTTCATGTTTTGCTGTTAAGTCACTGACAAGTATACTACAAGTAAACTGAAACATTTGCATGTTTAAAATTTGTATACTTTAACTACACTAGCATAGTACTTTTTGTTGAGTGTTAAAGGATCTGCTCTGGAAATACTGTTTATATATCAGGACTGTTTGAGGGTCATAACTGAATGAACTGGATAATAAGCATATTTTTTTCCTATTAAAAATATGATAAAAATATTTTTTTTTTCTGTAAAAATGCATATTATGATCTATGTTAATCACGACTTCAACTAATCTTGAGTAGGTATACCTTGTCAAAAATGAATGTTTTATTTTGAAAGTCCAGTTTAAATCTTATATGGCGTCTTTGAAGCTTGGCTCCGTTTAGTGAGTAAATCCAGTGAAGGCAGGTAGGAAAACATAATCACTTCAGTGGCTGCTCTTAGTCACTATATTCAAAAATCCAAGGGTTGATTTCACTGGTTCCTTTCTTGTATATTTGGTATAGAAAACATGTTTTAATCTATGTTTTAATTAGCGTTAGAAGCCTGCGCTGACTTGAACAGAAGGATGCGGCTTATAGGAGATGGAGAAAACCTCAGAGCGCTGTTATTTATAGAGATTATACATTGAGTGAAACGCAGTCATTTCACCTGCTCGCTCTTTATGGCTCCCACACATACAAAAAAAATAAAAATAAAATAATTGGTTATATTCATAATTAAAAAAAAAATCTATTAGAATAGATCTATTAGATTTAAACTTACAACCTTAAATATGTCCTTTCTGTATGATAAAACTTAATTTTCCCCTTTTTAATCACGTCCCACCAAAAAAAAAAAAAAAAAAAAAATCCATAATCCAGCCTGAATTCCATTTCTGTCCAAAAACACTTTTGATGCATTTTTGCTGCCATCTGCTGTTTATAATTGAGCCTCCAAAAAAACATGAATAACAGAAAAACTAGAGCCAAAACATAAAATTGCTTCAGCACTTTATTTGGACTTTTACCGTTCAGCCAAAAGATCTCCCATTTCAAAATGAATTTACTGAAAACAACAATATAAGCAAAACTTTATAAATTAGACAAAGCTACTCTGTGTGGTCATTGGTTGGAGAATAGATCATGATCATTTGGTCATTTGCAGCACAAAGATGAAAAAAAAGGATTGAAAAATGCAGGAAAGTTAATTTATGTATTTGGGAGATAACTGGTAACAATAACAGTCAGTGTCTCTTAATGCTGCTGCGAAGAATCAACATAATATTGCTTTGACATCTAAACAATAGGGATCCATAGAGTGTTATGAAGTAAGTGTATGGAGTCACTCCTAATGGCTTATCTAGAGCAAAGTGTCAGAAAACCTGAGTTTATAAGAAAAAACATATATATATAATTTTTGTAAATAGAAAAATAACATCTCACAGTATTAAACCTGTTACTGAATATTCAACAGATTATTTTAGAAAGAGAGCAACAGAAAATGATTGGCTTTTTTTACCATCTCAGTGCTCAGATTCTGCAGTTTCTCCTTTCTTGATTTTCTTTTTATCACTGTAGAAATTTCTCAACGGTCCACCCATCTGGAGTATTAGACACCTTTAAGCAAAAGATCTTCACAGTAAGAAAAATCAGTGGTTAGGATAAAGTGGTTTGTTACCAAGGCAACTGTACGTGGCACAATGGGCATAGCACTGAATCTCGATATTGTTTTGTTTTGTTTTCTGACCCCACATATACAGTAATAACAGTACTGGAAATACACACGCCGGGTGCATATTTTTTGGCATCCTTTGCTAACGGTTAAAGTAGGGGTGCAACACATCTGAAACACTTAAGCAGCATTTTACAAAACATTCATTTAAGACTACGACAGGTGCTATATTTCTCCATGTTTACAAAAAGGTGGGATTTTCACATCATTGCACAATAATAAATAGGAACAGATACTTGTCATTTGCAATACATGTATGCAGTGCCTTAGGAAAAGATTCACACCCCTCATTTTTTTTACAGATCTTGTCTTATAACAGAGGTTTCCAAATCCCTCTCTGTTCTGCAACTTTTAGACGTTCTTAAACATCTGGATAAAAATGGCCAACTAACATGCCTCTACGGAGCCGAATAACTGAAAGCTGATTACGAATTCAGCCGTTTGATCCAGAAGGGTGAGAGCAGGACAGAGTTTTTCAAAGAAGGGATTTAGGTTCCTCTGTCTTACAACAATCAGACCAATATCAATAGGAAGTAATTGGAACTAAGTGTAAAGAAAAGGAAAATCAGAGGCAGTTCCTGTATCAGCGGTGCCCTGAACGAGCCCTCCTTCATCTGCCTCATACTAGCACAGCTCTGTCTTTTAGCTTCTGAGTTGGGTTCTGTTAAAGGTCGACGACGGAGGAAAGTTAAAGCTCCCCTTATGTAAGGCCTCTCTGACTGACAGCAAACACAATAAACTTCTCATGCATAGATTAATTAGAAAAAAAAAATCAGGGATGCATCTGATAAATAGATTTTCAGTGTCAATATGGCTCCTATCAAAAACAATCACTTAAACTGAAAGACTAATTAGAAGTCTGTTAGATGACAAAATACTGCAGGAAGGTCATAGATAATAATGGAGAAAGGTTTAAAGGAGGGTTTTAAAACAAACACCCCGCTTCAAAAGGGAGTACACAATATTATAGGATGCTGTATCATTGCAGTGGGATTTTGTGCAACTTTATTATTGCTTCAACTACTGGGATTTAAATGACTTGTTGCTAATCAATATTGCGCATCAATTGTTTTTCTAAAATTGTGGAGCCTTATGGCAAACTGTGAAAGTCTACAACTGAGGCTAGAGAATTTTAAGGATGCACCCTGCAACGAATGATGGCTGCTCATTGGCCTTGCAGCAAGAAGGTTCTGTGTTCGATTCCTGGCCTGGGGTCTTTCTGCATGGAGTTTGCATGTTCTCCCTGAGCATGTGTGGGTTCTCTCTGGGTACTCCGGCTTCCTCCCACAGTCCAAAAACATGACTGTTAGGTTGATTGGCTTCTCTAAATTCTCCTTAGGTGAGTGTGTGCATGAATGGTTGTTTGTCCTATATGTCTCTGTGTTGCCCTGCAATGGCCTGGCGACCTGTCCAACCCAACCCCACTTGGGACAAGCGTGTAAGAAAATGGATGGATGGACCCTGCAAAGAGAATCAAAGTTATAATCAATTCTGACATGTTGGGGATTCACACGTTAGGTGGGTCCCCAACATGTCAGATCAGAAATAAAATTTCTGGCTGGTATATAAAGTGCTATCTGTCTCAGAGAAATAGCATCCCTCTGAACACACCATCCCCACAGAGAAACATGGTGGTGGCAGGATCATGCTGTGGCTTTTTTTTCTTTAGAGACTCAGCTGTTGGGAAAATGGATGAAGCTAAATAAAAGGCAATCCTGGAAGGGAAACTGTTGCCAAAAAAGATTTTTTTTTTTACTGGTTTGGGATTCAACCTTTCAGCAAAAAAAATACAAAACAAACAAACAATCCTAAACATACTAAAGAATAGATAAATTATTCTGAATAAACTATTTTCAAGTATCAAAATGACCTAGTCAAAGTACTGGCTTAAATCAATTAGGTGCAGCAAAGCGTGGCTTTACAGAATATCGCCTTGAGGAGGGGGAAAGTGTTGAATACAAATGCACGCCACACTTTTTAGATTTTTATTTATAAAATATTCAGTCTATCCAAAAAAAAATATAAAAAATAAAAATCCCAATCCAATTACTGCATTTTATGGTTGGAACATGACAAAAGGCCAAAAATGAAGGGAAAGTAAAGTTGAAAGGGTGTGAATCCGTTTGGAAGGCACTGGATATCTGCTGTTACAAATGTTTGAGTACCACATCATCACACAACAATAAAAAATGATCAGTTACCTGTTATTTTCAAGATATATATATATACATATGTGTGTATTTGGTAAATATATATATTCAAATATATAGAATAATCATGAGTATTTCAATAAAGGTATACAAATCCAGGCTTTTCTAGTTATGATAATTGCAATAAACTTATATGATTTCTTTACAGATATTTACAGAATTCAGCAGCCTCAAAAAAGGGGCTCACATACACAATAAGACAAGGTTACTGTACAGACACGTCACACAGATGCAGTGGAGGGCATATGGATGCTGATAGTCTTGGACGGCCGCAGCATTTTTATTGCTCAGTATCTTCATGAGGTAAAAGTCTTTGCTGTAAGGGAGAGTAAATGCTCAGAGGGAAGCTGAGGGGGCAGGCGATCGACCAGCAGAAGGGAAGGGGAACATTTGTATGGATTCAAACCAAATGTGCTACAGTGCTCTGGAAAGACGCGAATAATGCTGAGGGAGGCTCAAACTGAAATGTGGCATCGTCCAGAGATTGGCTGCAAGAAAGGCACAAAGAATACGAGCTCTACTGTAGGTAATAAGGTGACTCAGAGAAAGGGGAGCTTTGGGGAAAACAAGTAGAAATTGAACAGGGTGTGAAAGAGAATCGGATGCTGCGTGATTTATTTCCAATTAACAGTCAGGAGACAGCGCCTCTTCTTCCCCTCTGACCCGTCCTTCTCCCATGGCGCCTTTGTTTCTCTCCCACAAACTGAACCGGTGCGAGCCATGGGCCCGGCAGGGCGCCTGTGGCGACAGAAAGCCCTGAAATACTGGCGGCAGAGAGGCTGCCTTCAGACTGACTGTCTCCAGACTCTGACTCAGTTTCTCCCAGTTGGTTCACAGACCATGAGGAGTTGAGGAAGGAGAAGGGCTCTCTGTGTAACCCCGGATCTGAAAGAGCGACACCTGGTAAAGGCCTCTCGGAGTTCACTGACTCTGTGTCGTAGTTTTCTTGGACCTCATTCAGCTCGGTTTCTGGAGCCTCTTCCTGTATTTGCTCCTGACTCTCGTCTCTCTGAAGTTCCCGGTACGCTGCTGCCATGTCCCAGTTTTCCTCAGATTGCACCTGCCAGCTTTCTTTAGGTCTGGGAAGTCTATGGATGGGGCTTGGAATAGGTAGGAAAACATTATCTTCTTCACTCTCTGATAAGTCCACTATTCCCTCCAGTTCCTCCTCTCTTTCCTCCTCCTGCATCTCCTGAACAGCAGGTGCTTCCTGCTCTTCCTCTCCCTGCTCAGACTCCTCTCCCTCTGTCATCCTCCTCCTCTCTAGGCTCCTGCTTTCTCTCTCTCTATGTCTTCTCCTTCTGCTTTCCTTGTCCCTTTTTCTTCCCCTTACTGTCTCATTGTCATCATCTTCATATTTCCTGGTAACATCTCTTGGTAAACTTTGAGATCTCCCTTTCCTCCTCCTCTCCCTATCCTCGCGAGAACTCTCCCGTCGCTCAGAGATGGGGCTCCGTAAGCGTTCTCCTCCTACAGAGCCCCGCCTTCTTCTTCTTCTTCCTCTGCTCGCCTCATTCCCCCTCACGTCTCCCACCGATCTGCTTCTCCTTTTCTGATTGGAGCGACGCCCCCTCCTTCCGGTGGAGTTTACTGCAGCCAAACCCTGCTCTTTGGGGTTGTACAGCAGGGAGGGGGAGGTGATTCTGTGCTCATGGCCTGGACAGGTGGGGTGGAAAAAGGGAGAGAAAACAAAATGAGTCAATGACAGAAAATCTTTTAGATTTTTTTCCTGAAATTTTCATGTAATCTGCAGAACCTTGCAAGAGCATTCAGGAAACTTCCCCTATTTTGTCTTCTTCTTGCAATCCCATACTTTTCATTTTTCATTTTATTTTAAAGTAGAAATAGAAAAAAAAGAAAGAAAGTAGAATAAAAATTATAGCTAATGTGTTCATCTTTACAAAAATACACAAAAAAAGGTGTGGCATTCATTCTGATTGAGTTATGTTTACTCCAATTTTCCCTAAATAAAGTCAGAAACCTTGAGTTACGCAGAAACTCAAGGTTTGCTGAAGAACAGCGCTGAACAAATGGCATTGTAACGACCAAGAAACGCATCTGACGGATCACATAATATGAGCACAAGGAAGTTTAAAGCAGGGTTAGGTTATAAAAATAATATCCCAAGCTTTAAACATATTGCTGAGCTCTGTTCAAGTTTCGCAAAATAAAATTAAATTGGTACAACTATTAACTCTGCAGGCCACAAATCTGGCTTTTACAGAGGAGTGGTAAGGATATAACGCTGAAATAATCCCATTTATTTTGGTTCTAATTTTTAAAATCCTTCTCCTCATTATATTTTTCTTTTCTAATCAAATAAGTGTTGCATTTGAAAAAAGAATGACAGATTTGACAGAATAAATGGAGGTTTCTAAATGCATTATGGTTAAGAACAGAGGTGTCAAAAGTTTTAGTTTATCACTCCAGTAGTTTAAATCCTACTGTTTAAAAACCGGGAGTGGAAAGTAACGAATTACATTTACTCACGTTACTGTAATTGAGTACTTTTTGAGTAATTTGAAATTTTCTGAGTAGTTTTTGAAATATGCAATTTTTACTTTTACTCGAGTAAATTTTAACCTAAGTAGTTTTACTTCGCTACATTTAAAACCCCCTCACATTACTGAGTAAAAAAAAACAAAAATACTGATGATGAAAAAATTAAATGCGGCTGGAAATTTAAACCCCTGTGTCACGGAACCGACACTTAATCGCCATTAAAAAATAGAAGAAGACTTTTGACTTTTAACAGCACTTTATTTACACAATTCAAACATATAAACAATTGATGTTAAAATAAGTGACAGTTAAAAATCACAATTAAAGTAAAACAAGCGTCAGTTAAAATCATTAAATGAGGAGCTTGTTAATAACAGTGGGATCCTGTTGCGTTTTAGTTTGATTTCTGGTATCTTTTGGGCATTTAATTTAGTGTGCATTTTGAAAAATTTAAAACATAGTTTAAATTTCTTTATTCCTATCATGATGTTGTCTGTTGGACAGTAGGATTGAAAATTGTTTGCACTTTATGGTACAGGTTGTGACTGTCCTTGTGCTGTGAGGAAGTATGTTCTTTAGCCCAGCTGATCTTTTGCAAGAGTGGATGTCCACTGAAATACGCCTTGAAATCGATTAAAACTCCTTGTGCTCAATTCGATTCATGACTCATCCTTTTTCGCATTAAATAACTCAAAGTAACTAAGTAACTTTTACTCAAATTACATTTTAAATGATGTAATTTTTTACTTTTACTTGAGTAAATTTTGAGATGGGTAATTTTACTTTTACTCTGAGTAAAATTTAGGCAAAGTAAAGATACTTTTACTCAATTACAATTTTTTAGTACACTTTCCACCTCTGTTAAAAACACTTTTGTAGAAGTTAGAGTATCAACATATGCTTTTTTAAAACTGCTTAAAATATAAAAGTAAAAATAATGCAGGAGAAAATGCAAAGGACAGAAGCTTTACTGCACTTCCCTATTAAAGGGACATTTTCTACAACTCTGGATGATAATTTCCTACTTAATTTTCTTGGTGGTATAACTAATGGCAACAGATTCCAAATTAACTTTGCATTATCTTGGAAAATCTATCCATGTTGGTATGTGGCGGACAACATGGTATATGGTGAGAATGAGCTTAAATGAAACAAAATTAAGAAGTCTGTTTTGAAAACGTAAGGAGTTGAAAGTAGAGATAATTGCAAAAAATGTAAGGAAATAAAAAGTTCTCTTGGAACAAAGATGTCTAAAATGTGTTAGTATTCACTGTGCAGTTCTTTTGCATTTGCACCCGTGTGGGTGCGCAGGCAAAATGAGAAAGAACATACTCTGGTCAGATCGTCTGGTCGAAATTATATTTTAAGGTATACATGTAAAGCGAATGTCACAGACAGCTAACACTGAACATCAACACTGGTGTTAAAGCTTTAAAAGGTAGATCTCCAAAGTATTGGTCTATTTCGGCTGAAAATGCATGCCACAAATTTTAGGTTTTAATTGATAACATTTTATTCTATTTGACAACTATGCACCACTTTGTACAGGTCTATTGAACAAAATCCTAACAAAATACAATAAAATGCGTGGTGCTAATCTGACAACATATGGAAAAGTTCCAAACTGTAAATCCTACAAGGCACTGCAGATTACAGAGCTCCTCGTTTCAGTGGTTTGCTGCTTCTAAGGTTAGCATGGCTAAGAACATCTGCTTCTTTACTGTTCTGCAACATTAATTAGTCATTCAAAGTGTTTTTAATTATCAGCATGCTCTGAGATGATTAAATTATGTCAATACCTTTGCATACTTACACAATAGGAAGGCCAAGCATTTTGCTTAGAGGTAAATTTGCTAGAAACATAATGTACATACCTACAATGCTAATTAGTCTCATCATTTTATAATGAGGGAATCCAACATATGCTTCATGCTAACTTTCACTGGGTGCAGACAGCAGTGGTGAGTGGTTCAAGAGATGTAGAGAGGCAGAAAATGGGAGAACTAACAGGAACCATTACCAACCGCGTATTCTCTGTCCGTCCAATGACATAGAAGCAAGGCTCGCCTAGCTTGGAGTTGGTCATACATAGAGACAAACTGGAGAGCTCCACTGAGAGTCAAAGGGAAATCAGAGTGGACAGAAAGGAGTGTTTGAAAAGAGGAATAAAGGGGAAAACCAAAGCAGGGACCATGCATAAGGAGAAGGTAGTGTGGAAAGGTTAACAGCAGAAGAAGGTTTTAATGAAGCGGGAAGTGATGGATTAAAAAAAAGGGAAACACCAGAGGAGTGGAAGAGAGAATAAAAAAGTGGAAAATATTTTAGTTAGAGTTATTCTGAAAAGAGAGACATTGAGAAAATTGCACCCAAAAGACACAGATATCACATACTAAAATATAAGAGTTTCTTATCATGGACCAAGCACACTTTATTTAGATACTTTTAAATAAAAAAAAAATAAAAAAACTCTGCTTTACCATAATCTGGCACATATCCGTTCCCCCTCTTGAGGACCAGATGGATTCGGTGGCCTCCTCGGCGGATCATCTCCACTGCTTGGCTGTGGGTCATCCCCGTCGTACTGTCTCCATTGATTTCCACAAGCTGGTCGCTCACCTGCAATTACAGCATCACTTAAAATGTCACTCAGAGGAGCAAAACCAAAGGTAAGACGACGTTTAATCCAGAATCACCTCATGGTGGCACTACATCACCAGATTCATCAAAAGTCCTCTTGTTACAGTTCTTAGACTGCCAAATGTTACCACAGGTATAATGTCTGTATTCAGCTATCCAATAACATGGAACAGTTTGCAACCTTTTTATTATAAACAGTAGTTTTGGAGGTTACATAGCATTTGATGTTTATTTATGACTATTATTTATTCTTTTGTCATGTTTAAAATGTCTCAAGTGAATTTCTCCACTGTGAGATCAATAAAGTCTATTTTATCTTATCTCTTCTTACTTGCATCATTCCAATCTCACTCACCTTTAGCACCAGATATAATCAAGGGATATTAAGGGGAGATAATTTAATAATCAGACCATTTTAAATATCTTCCCATTATGAAAATCCTTTCAATATATTTTCCTATTATTATAGAATATCCAGCATATAAAAATATATCCAGCATTAAAAAATAGATGATATTGGCGTGTTTAAATGAAATTAATTCAATTTTAAACAACACATTTCACTTGGTTTTAATAATTTTAATTCCTGGTAATTAAACACTTTTTGGATCATTCTCCTGCTAAAAATATATAATTTTTTAATTAACATTTCCTGGTATTTTACATTTCATGATGCTTTCCTGTATAGAAAGATTCCATAGCCCTTGAAAGAGACACAGGCCCTCAGCATCACACAACCTCTATCATACTTAGAAGTGTTTCTCTTGTTTCAGCTTTCAAACTGTGAGCCTTTGTGTTTGTCATGGTAGAAGTTATTTTAAAACTCTAAGTTGTTGGATGCTAGATAAATTAGCTACTTTCTTGGTCATCATTTCTTCTGACATAAAGAACAAAAAGTTTCTGTAGGAAAAAAGAAAAATTGTCCTCTAATCTGTAATTTTTTATCATCACCCAGGAAAAAAAAGGCAAAGATATTGTAATGTACTTAAAATTTTCAATAAAACCAAAATAAAAGCAAATATATATTTGATTAAGTTTATTCAATGAGAATTGTTAGAGGTGCATATAACTCTAAAAAAAATTATTTTCTTTTTCTCACTGAAGAAATTTACTCCAATGATGGATTTTTCCAAATCTACTAGCTCACAATTGTGCTGCTATTGCAAATAAGTCTTATTAACCATAAGACAGGGAATAAAGCCAGTAATAACGTGAATAAAGCCAGGAATAACACTACAAACCTGTATCTTTTGGCTCCGTGATGCGGGACCCCCCTCCATCAGTCCCAGGACATAGAGGCCCATATTGTACTCACTTCCCCCTCGGAGGCTGAAGCCAAAGCCTGAGGGGCCTCGATCTAGGTCCACACTGTAGTACCTAGAGTCACGCTGGGTGACAAAGGTAGAAAAAAAAATGAAGGGTGCTCATCCTATTAATGGAAGTATAAAACTCATAGAGGTACTGTTTGCATTGCAAAATTAAATCTACATAAGTCATCTTTTCTTAAAAGAAGTGCATTTTGTCCTAAATTGAGTTGGTAAGTGAGACACTTTGCTAATGGAAGAAGACGATTTATGTTTAAAATAAGAAAAAAATAACATTTGTATTGTCTTATTTCAAGTGCATATTATCTGACTATCTTATTTTAAGAAATATACTCATTCCATTGAAAATAAAGGGTAAATACACTTAATTTAAAGTCGTAGGGAAGTCATATTTAAATGTTAAATCATTCGGGCTTAAACATGTATATAAATGTACTCTTTATCAGACAATATTGTCACAAAATTTAGAAAATTTCTGTCTTTAAATCTGTGTTGTTTTTTTTTCATTATCTTATGCAGGCCAGTTAGTTATATGTCAACTTGTACACCTGAATTCGGCCAATCAGCTATCAATGGTCATCTGTCAATCAAATTTTTTTGGTCATAGCACTTTTCATTCATATGTCGCAGCTAATATACGCAATGGTTGAAATAAGAGTAATTTCCTTTCCCATTGAGTTCCGTCCCAGTGTTCACGTAGCCTCGTGAGACCATCCTGATCTCGCGAGCTTTCAAGGTTTCACTCGCAGATTAGTCTGGAGACTCTCCGTTAAGGAATATTTGGAGCCGTTCACCAAACGAACGTCCAATCAGCGTTGGCTTTGAGGCGGGTTGAGGTGTGACGCAACGAGAAGCGTGACAGTTCAGTCTAAAGAACATGGTGGCTTCAGCCGATGAAACTAGCGTTAGCGTGGCTATCGAGCAAGTTTTATCGGAATTACAGAGTATTTCTTCACTGAAAGAAGAGCAAAACACTGCTCTGGAGGCTTTTCTCAGAGGAAAAGATGTTTTTGCTCTTCTCCCGACTGGTTTCGGCAAGAGTAGCCTGGCTTGTGGTTGTGTTTTCGTCGTCGGTTTGTTAGTACGTCATATGCTTCGTTGATCTGATTGACGTCTGTGTCTTCAGCAGGCGTAGAGCTAACAGAACTGGCAGCGTTGCGAGGCAAGGACTCAAAGATGTACGGCTGGAAGACCTTACACCAAACCAAGCTTCTGCCGCCCTGGTGTCCTCGGACACAATAACTCTGTCCCCGCTTTTAAAAAATGTGGAACGGAAGAGACTCATTCACGACCTCCGACACTAAACTCTCCTCCTCTTGCATGTTCTTCTCTCCATAGCGTTCATTCCTTGTTAGTGTCGTTTCTAAGTCACCAGTTTAGTGCTACTTGGTTCCAATGGAATTTCCCATTCGGAACCTAATAGCACAAAGTTGCTAACTGGTTAGCACAATGCTTCCGAGACACCGGCCACAACCAAACTTGATTGCAAACCTTCCGCCACAACAATCCCGCCCTCTTGATAAACGACCAATCAAATTCTCTTTATTCACTCGTGTAAAATCGGGAAACACTCTGGAGAATTCGGATTTGCCACTGTCGGAACAGCCGCTTCCCTACGACTTTAAGACATTTTTACTAATTTCTAGATTGTTTTTGCAGTGTGGGGGATTCTAATAAAGGATTTGTCCTCACCTTTGGGCGTGACCTCTGACCCTTTCTGCTTCTGTGACCATGATCATGTTCGGCCGCCTCTATATTGTTGGAGGAATCTGAGAGGGATTAATATTTTGCTTAGATAACCTGAGAGGAAAGCTGTTCATGGTATTATACGTGGGTCTCTATGTTTTTGTGTCCACTTACAGGCGCTGGGCCGGGGAACGATGGTAAGACGTAGAGTGTTTCCTGCTCTGCGAAGAATCTGAGCGAGCTCTCGATGAGGCACAGATACCACTGAGCGACCATCAACAGCCTCCAAACGATCTCCGGGCCTGATCTGGCCGCTCTTCGCAGCGGGACTGCCGCGTCTGACAGTGACGAAGCGGTGAGGAAGAAGGGAGGCGGCTGAAAGAAGAACAGACCGAATGAGTCCAACTATTCTAAATACTCAGTCAAATTTAATAATTTAAGTAGCAAAACCTTAAGTAGTGTGAAACTATTTATTTTAATTACCTATTGCTTTCAGTGCAGGAAGATTTATTCCAGCATTGCACATGCCTGATTTGCTAAAACAAGCAGTAATTAAGGTTTTTGGCTGGGTATACCTTATAAATTACTTCAGATGGCAGCTTTTATTTTACAAGCAGCCTCTCTGTCTCCTTGAAACAGTTTCTCTCTGTTTTACATTCCATTTTTCTGCCCTACTGCACCTCACCTTTTTCTGGCACACCAGCAACATTTCTTCCCCATTTTTAATTCGTCTTTCACCTCAAGAGCAGAGTCATGACCAGAAACCTTCAAGCAATAATGTTCTGTCCTCAATCTGTCAGATGACAACAGATTTGGGATTGCAACGCTCTCAGTAATCTTCAAACTCCACTTTTCTACTAACTGCAAACTTGCAGGCTGTCTTCATTAGTATGCCACTCATGCATAAAATGTTCCCTGCTAGATTTTTGTTGTGTGTAGACAATTAAAGGGATAGTTCAGCACTCTTTGAAATGATGCTTTGTTTAAAGATTATAAGCAGATAGTATTTTATGTGCAGTGTGCAACACTTTTGGCATATCTATTTAATTTCAATCTGGATTAAATGAACCAGGAGGGTGAAGCTAACAGTTAGCAGGTGAGACCAAGACCTAGGTGGTCTTCCAGCATCTGGAACTGTTCCAGTATAAATCATTTCATGGCTATTTACTCGGGTGCATTTTATGAACACTCACCCGTCGTTAAGTTTGAATTAGAGGGTTATTTACAGAGAAGGTAATGATCGATTACATTGGTAATGGAGATTATCCCTGTGTGGAACATGTGTTTCTTGTCAGAGTAATTGTTTCATATGAAAATAAAGAGTTTAAGAATATCATGCATTCATGGAACCCTGTTTAAATTAATTGTAGAGTGCCTTATTCTGATGGGAAAGACGTTTTATATTCTGTTCCACCCATTTTGCACTTCCTCTAACAACCGTTTCCTGTCAAACTATCATTTCCACTCAAAATAATTATTGGCCAAGGTTAAAAGTAGTCATATGAAGCTTAGACTTTTTTCTAAGAGGATGGATGTCAGTTCTGATCAGGCCCCTCCAGGACTAGCTGTCACTTTTAGCCTTTACTATCACATATTCTGGGTTTAAATCTAAAGAGTTTCCATCTGCAGGTAACTGCTCTAATTAAAATTTATAACAAATCCATAGTTCTCTTAGTTTAAGAACATTTTAAAGATAAATATATAGCTAATATAATAAGCTGTTACATTCATGCTGATTTTGCACAGTTTCTACCTTAGTCAGTTAAATAACCTGCTGCTGTCATTTTGCACATCTTTGATGTTGCTGCTATTTTCAAATTTTCCATTACTGTAAAAATGTCCATAGCTGTATATTGGTTATTTATTGTCCAGGTGAACAGTTTATATTGTAAAAACACTTTACTTTATTGTAAAAACACTTTACATTACAGTGTTTTATTTGTAGTTTTTAACTCTCTTTTATTTTTTTTTATTTGTAGTTTTTAACTCTCCACTTGTCTGTTATTCTTATATATTTTTCTAAGGTCCATATTTGTGTGACCATTTTTTCTATAATCTTTTTGCTGCTGTAAACACCAGAATTTCCCCATTGTGGAAAAATAAAGGGATTTTCTATTCTATTCTATTCTATTCTATCAAATACGCTAAAGCTAAAGGAGATTTGGTTTCGTTGCAAAATATATACATTAGCAAGACTTAAGGTTGCATTTTGCATTTTTTTCCAAGAAGACCACTTTTATTGGCTTGAAAAACTTAAAATAATTTTCTTGATGAAATCTGAGCTTTTCTCTTAGAATCTGGATGTTTTTAACTCTTCTCTTTGGAGTTCAAATTGAAAGTGAGATAAAGCAGCTGAAGAAGATCCCTGTCAATGTTATCAGCACTGTTCTACCTACTGCACATAAAGTCACAGGCACCTATAGATAAGAGAAGATACTTTTCTCAGGTTATTTTATTTTATGACGTTCAAAAACTGACTTTTCCTCAAAGTCTGTCTATCAAAATATAAATTAATCCAATTAATAAACTCATTCTGTTTCGCCGTCAGATTTTGTGGTCACACTTCAGTTACTGTTTATCTGCACAAAACTTAGTTCTTTTTTCATATTTCTGTTGTTTTATGTGCTGCTTAATATTTACTCAGCAGAAAATAAAATTTTCTTTTCTGTTTTTTGTGTTTTATTTTTCGTTTTGCCATTTCTGTCATCAGATTCCCCAACTATTTTGGTTCCATTTGGTTCCTGATTCTGTTTCCACTTTTCTAACTGGCCTTACCAGGTCCTAATCTGAGCCTAATTATCCTGACTCAATCTATGATAAATATTTGTATGAAACATTTAAAGTAGAAACCTCCGGAGGTAACTGACATATGTAGGACCAAATAAAAATGCACAGAACTGACATTAAAACATAAATGCTAGCTTTAGCCTAGCAGTGAGATGACTACATTGTAAAGACAAAGCATAGGTTTGATATTAAGTATAGAAACAAATACTAAAGGTCGGCCCCTTTGAGGTGATGAACTGTTAGGAAACTGCAGTGACATTTTAAAAATGTTTAACTTGTGATGGAGCAGCGTATTTTGAATTAAAATGCCAAGAAAAGGAAAAAGAAGAGAGACTGGCACATAAAAAATGTCTTTAGTGGATGAGCTAAGGGGAAATGATGACACGCTGTATGTTACTTCACTTTATTGTAAGATGATAATTAAAAAGCTCACATTTTACGTGATTCAATTTATTGCATTTATTTAGAATAACCTCTTGTTTATTTTGTTCTTTTTGTTTTTTAAGCATTATCTAAGATTTTTATTAAAAAAAATGTTTAGTCAATGTCTCACCCTGTTTACAAGAGCTTTACTTTATTTTTACCCATTTGCATTATAAAATACAGTTCATTTTATTCCTGTTGCATCTGATTTTGAGGTTCTTTTCTGTCTCTTGTGTTTAGTTAATTATCTTTTCCATTCTTTTGGCTTCCCTTTTGTGCTTTTTAGTCATTCCACTTAACAGTTTTTCACCTCCTTCTTTAATTTCTTTTGTCTTTCAAAGATACAGGTTAATAACTGCTATGAGTCTTTTATCAGATTAAATTTGTAGATATTCAGCTTTAGGAGTTATGTTTTTTTTCTTTGTTAATTTAATTATAAAATGAAAATTAAATGCCCGTAGCAAACATTGCATTAACATGATCATATACAACTCTCTTTAAAAATTAAAAACCATGCATTTAGAGACCTTTTCCTTCACTTTATGCAGAAAACATTCTCAGCATCTTTCCCTTCCAGCATCTGCACTGCTCCCACTTACTGAGCTGCAATACATTCAGCCCAATAATTTTGATAAATTAAACATGTTTTAGAAAGAGGTCAGGGATAATATCCAACTGAGTGGGTTGTTTCAATTTACTAGTTTTAAAGTGAACTACAGAAGTGGCACTATGTTAGCTTATGATCTAATCATTTCATATCCTCAGTATGATGAGATTGCTCAGATTTAATCTAATCGCTGATCAGTGTAAGAGGTTGATGAGGAAAAACACTGAGCAGCCGAGAATCAAATGTTCTCCCAATAATCTCCTTGAGCAGCTCAAAAAGCTCCTTATAGTTTTTAGCTGGACGATGTTCCTCTGCTCAGATGTAGATTTTCTGGTCTTTTTTGAAGTAGTTACCTCCCCAATAGTACCCACCCCCATCCCTGCATTAATAGCAGACTGCATTTTAGTGACAGCTGGACCCTCCAGAGTCCTGCCTGGAGCCTTACGTAACCTAGAATAAAGATTTTTACCACTCTCATTTAAGGCAAAATAAAAAAAAACTCATAGCTGTCAGGACAGAAATAGCATGTCTGAATATAGATTAAAATGCTGGTTAACAGATTAGGCCTACAAAGACAGGGTGAACAATATGCCAAATGAGATGAAGTGCATGTCAGACAGGGATGATGATTCAGTTAAACGGCAGCTCGGAGCCCAGAAACATCTCCAATCAGGGTGTAATCTGGGTGACCCAGGCAGAAACGGCAATCAGGTCAGATCAAAGCCAAGGCAGCTTTGGACATAGTCTTCTTAACATGCATAATACATCAACAAACAGATGAATAAACGCACACGGCACTATTGTGCAGACACATATGCCCAGTGACTCACTCGCCGGGAGACTGGGACAAACACACTCAGTCACAGATGTAGAATATCTGGAACACTCACATGCACACAGCTGCATGCAAATTCACTGATTTTTTTTATTCTGTGGGGTATTTCCTCACTTGACTCTCCTAGTTCTCCTATCTAGATAAATCCCACTGTGGTACATCCTGCAGTCAGCCTCTGACATGATGCACTGATAACCATTGATGAAAGGTAACAGCCCCCCCACCCTGTCATCATAAAGTCCCCCCTCTGCAGCCCAGATGAAGCTGCAGACATCAAGCTCAGGCAGTTTCTTCAGAACAAATATGACCCCAGAAAGTACTGCTAAATCTACTGCATATCTCTTTCTTGCAGCTCTCTCTAAGGCTCATGCAAAAGTCCCATCTATAAATCCCTGCATCATTCATTTAAACAGAGCGGCAACATTAACAGCATCAGGCATTCAGAACATTTGAACAACTTTCACACAGCTGGTGCACAGGACAGAGCAAACTTCAGAACATGCAAACATGAAGTTAAAAGCAGTGCAAGTTTGAATAATTACGTTTAGACTCCTTCACAGTTTTCAAAGCGGACTGTAGTCTCTCCAGCATGGCTCTCTGATTAGCTAATGCAACAAAAAGGAAACAAAATAAATAAAAAACAACAAAAGAATCCTATATTCCAGGTCTAGCAGCTTAGAAGCTCAGAGATTCACTTGCAACAGGAGCTAAAACACAGACTGGCAGTCCCCCCTCTGTTGCTCCGCAGCGAGGGAAATGTTTGGCGTAGCATTTCCCTTGAGCATTCACAGGGTGGTGGAGAGAGCAGGGAGGTAAGAGGGAGGGGGAGAGTTTTAATCTTCTGAAAAACCAGACTGGACGCTTTTACTGCAGATTGAAAAGGGGGGTAAGAGATGGAGAGTGGGCGGGAGCTCAAGAGAAGCACGGAGGCGAGCGAGAGAAAGATGGGACATAAGAAAAAAGAGAGAGAAAGGGACAGAGGGGACCACTCGACAGGATAAGACGACATTGAGGTTTATCTGCATGAAAACATGTATGCATTGATGTTAGGCCATACAGCAGCTTTATCTGCATCCTGGTGGTAACCTCTCCAAGTGAAGAGAAGAGGAAGAGAGAAGGCTTCTGACTAATGGGGATGCTGCGTTTCACCTGCAGTGGAGGCACTAAACACAGTACTGAAAGGTGATGAGGGCAGTACTCTTTCCAGGCAGATCAGAAACCAACCTCATTGCTCAAAAAAAGTGGTTCCACAGGACACAGTTAGAATAACATGGGATTAAAAGTTCACAGGAAGTTTCTATCCCAACAGGACGCCTAATTTTTGGGTGCCTCTAATTTTGATAATCAGACAATATCACCTGACTAATTGATATCCCTGGAACCACTTCATATTATATTACCTTGGAGTCACAAACTTAATTGCATTTTATAAGAATGAAAGTCCTGCACAAAGCAAATTGTGACTCTGAGGTGGAAGTGTCCATAAAAATCTGTAAAGTATGATGTTCCTGTCAATTGAGAAGCCCTTAGTTAACACTTTGTGTAATAACTTTTTACTGCAATTGCAGCTACAGTGTAGCTCTGTCAGCTTTAGCACATGTGCCGATGGAACGTATCTCAATATTATCATTGATAAAAAGCTCAGTTACATTTGATTAAAAGTATTTAGGGTTTAAAAAAGCTTGAGACAAGACAATAGCAAATTGTCTAACCCCTTTTGCGTTAGCAGGGGCAGATGGCAGAAGATGGACAAAGTAACCAGAGGAAGCATGCTGTCAGGAAAACACACAATTAAAACTGGTCTGGCATCGTGACGAAACTGAATTCTTTAATCGGGTTTTTTGGAGACCAACCACTTCCAAGCTGTCCAAACTTTGAGACAGTCCTTCTCTCTCTAATAAAAAAACTCTTTTAACTCAAAAGTACCAGACAAAGGAGGTAATTACTGAAGAGACAAGATAAAGAAGTACTCTGAACTCCTGGAGCCAGGGGATTTGTGAAACACAGTAGACCAGTCTAAAAACACTATTAAAAAAAACAGTGTAAAGATCTTTAAATTTCAAGTAAAGCTCTTTAAAATGCAAGTTAAACCAAGGCGGATAAATGCACCAGAGAGTGGAAATGATGCACTGTGACTCATTCAGTGGCTTGTAGCCATGCAAGCCGCTTTTAATGTTCAATTACCTAATGGTGCTTCTTTCCACAAGGGCATCCAAAAAAAATCTATTTCTTTGGGCAGGTAACCAAATGCCTGTGATGGACCCAATAGGTCAGCTACGTCTACTAAAATATCGTCAAATTCTATTTTCAATACACTAGTATTTTAGAACATTTATGTGAGTAAAGTAAGTTTTTACCTCTTCCATTCACCAAGTCCTGAGAGGCAATCACAAACCCAAACCCCTCCCCTGGCTTTCTCTTCAGTTCCACTTCGATCCCTCTAAAACGACGTGTTCGTTCACCCTTTCGCTTCTCCAGACTTGCTTCAGGCACAGACACACCACCACCAGCCTCATCTTCCAGGCCAATGTCTATCCAGTCTTTGGGCTCCATGGTCAGGGTCACTGGAATTGACTCCAAAAAACTGGTGCTTTGGATCAAAGCGGAACTTGTGAGGCGCGGAGAAGAAGGGTTGCTTGTGGAGGTGCGGGGCACAGGCAAGGCCTCCGGGAGCAAAGACGTATTGTCCGTGTCAACAGGAGGAGGAGGAGGATGTAGCAGAGGTGGAGGAAGTCTCCGAACAGAGGCCGGAGAAACAGAGTTATAGATGCCTGACAAGAAGAGAGGAATGAAAGTGATCCATCCACTGAGTATTAATGTTATGAAATTGCTGACTCTAAGGAGGCTGTAAATACCTTACCTCCTCTGTACACCAGCAGAATAACTTCTCCCTGTTTTGTGTGTTCCTGTAGGATTGTTTGTATCTGTAAAAAAAGGAAAGGTTTAAGCAATTTCTGGATTATTCCACAAAAAAAAGTTAAAAACAATCTTCTGGACTTTGTTTCCAAATTTGAAGACGTTTCGCTTCCCATCCAAGTAGACTTTTCAATTCAAAATGTCAGGAATAGCGTTGAGTTTGAGGTTTTATACAGTAGCCCAACAAAGCCTTGTTTTTGTTTTGAAAACATGCAAATTGAAACAGATGAATGGGTCCACCCCTTTGGAATGGCGGTTGTTTGGCTTCTTTTGTTAGCCTGCAATGCCCCATACCAGTCTAAAAGCCAATTTATGCTTCTGACGCATAGCCTAGGCAACTGTCAAATCTGTCTCTGTGCGCGACCACGCCCTCCGCACAGAGGCTCTACAACTGTTGTCGCAAACCTCAAAAAAATGCTGACTACACGTTGGACGGTCGCAAACCCGTACAGACCTCGAGCAGAAGTGCGCAGACAAAAAGCAGCTGTGATTGGTCCTTGGTATGCCTTTCCGGCTGTCTGTGTGGTCGTCCTTCTCGATTCGGTGCCGGGGCACGCCATTTTTAAAAACCGAGGAGTAATAACAACAAAGGATAACCACGACGAAAGGTTGAACGAGGAGGTTCGGAAGTACAACCACTTGTACAATGCCTCAGACATGTTGTTTTGGAAAATAAACACTCCCGCTGGCCCCACCGAAGAAGTTCTCGTGACCATCCTCCGAAGTTCTCGGGAGTTCTCGAATAGGCTCCCCCTAGTGCTTTGGCGGGAAACCGCTGTATGTCCCTAGGAATTCAAGACCGACGGTGCAGAAGCATACCAGCAAAACTGGTTCGCGACCAGAACCAAGTGACATTTGATGTGTGTGGTTACAGAAGTATAATCCGCCCTTAAGTGTCTGAAATGTCCGTCATTTAAGGGAATAGTTGGCCTGGCTGAATAGGCGAGTTCCTCCGCTCTCCTGTACAGAGGCTGGGGCTGTGATGATAGCGAGAAGGGATTAACGTCTTCAAACTTGCGAACAAAGTCCAGTGGATTATTATGATTTTCTTTTTTTGGAATAACTATGACCTGGATGACTGAGAATCTTCAACTGCTTAACTTCTGGATTAATTTTAGTTAAGTTGCAAAATATGAAAATATGAAAACTAAAACACATTGTTAGCTCAAGTTTTAAGAGTTAAAATAATCTGTTTCTTTATTACCTGCAAAGGTGTGAGACTCTGGACATCAGCTCCATTGATCTTGACAACAGCATCTCCCGGTTGTAAGGAGTTACACTGCTTTCTATCCCAGACTCGCTCCACTACAGTCAACCTGCCACCAGAGCCACCAGCTTTCAGGCTGAAACCAAGGCCCTGGTCTCCTGCAGTCTGTGCCAAGGCCACTGGAACAACTTCCCCTCCAATGAATCCCCCAAACCCACTACCCACACTTAAAGCACCAGGAGAGGAAACGTTGGTGGGGCTGGCAGTGGGGCTGGTGTTGCCATGAAAACCATTGACAATGTGATGGTGAGGGCTTTCTCTTGTGGGAGGTGGTCTGAGATGGGAAGTCTGTGGTCTAAAAATTTGGGAATGAGTGCTGCGTTGACCACCTGGGGAAGAGGAGGGTCTTCTTGGAGACTCTGGGAGTGGCAGCCGGGTCCCTGGCATTGTGCATGTTGACAGGTCACTTTCAGATGACTTTGAATTACCATAACGTAAATGGTGTTGTGGTGTTGAAAGGGAGTTGTTGTTGTGATTTCGGATCATTGACGCCCTGATGGAAAAGTGAAGTACGTAAAGACAACACTGAACTAATGTCTGCAACTGAAAACGTGAAGTATAAGTTTTACCTGTGTGAACCAACTGCGGACACAACCTCACTGTCGCTCTGACTGGCCAGTGTCGGGTCCAGCGACTGCAACCTGGCGAAACCCCTGTGCGACCGAGGCAGCCGAACTGGGGAGAACGGTGCTACATTGCTCATGTTAGAGCCTCTGTATGGTGGAGGCAGTCTAGAAGCATAAGATGTGGCATTTCCATTGGCATCAAGAGTCACGCCATGTTCCACGTAGCCTCTGTCGCTGTGGAAACCATTAAAATGTTGACTCTGTGGTGAAGGTGTTGAAAGACGAGGTAGCTGGTGCAGAGGTTGTGGCTGGGTAGTTGTAGGTGCTACATTGTGATCCTCACTGTCCAGGGATCTTGGTGAGGAATGCTTGGGACGACCGTCGGGGTTGTAGAGCATCGGATAACCCCTTCTTACCTCTATGTCTATGCTATGGCCCACAGGCACTGCTTTGAGCATCTCTACAGCCTCTTTATGAGACATTCCCAACACACACGTATCGTTGATGTACACCAGTATGTCCGCTAACAAAGCCAAAATAAAACAGAGAAATTAATATTAATATTTAAAAAACATTTTGTTTTTATTTTTTATATATTTTGGGAAATTGTGCAAGCAAAATTTCATCAATACCATTGAAAGAATGGTCTATTTCTACTGAACTGTTTAATAGACTTCTGACCAGCTTGTCTTCTAGAACAGCGGTCCCCAACCACCGGGCCGCGGACCGGTACCGGTCCGTCTGTCATTTGGTACCAGACGGTATTCTCTCCCAATTACATCATCTGTGGCTCTTGACACAGGTTAATTCAGTTCAAGACTCATCCTATCTATAACATCCTATCTTTGTGAAGCGGGATTTTCTGCGGTTACAGCGACCAAAACAAAGCTACGGAGCAGACTGGACATCAGGTGCACACTTCGTGTGTCATTGTCTCCGATTACGCCTAGATGGGACCGGCTTGTTGTGTTATTTTTATGCTTTTTGTATTTGATTTTATGCCAGTCATTTGATTTTATGCCAGTCCGCCCGGCCGGTCCGTGGAAAATTGTGTGACATATAGCGGTCTGTGGTGCAAAAAAGGTTGGGGACCGCTGTTCTAGAAGACAGTAAACAAGTTGTTTATGCAATGCAAGAGGAAATGAAATGCCACTTAATCTAGTGTGGATGTCAAAAATAAACCATCAGAACCACCCTGAACATTTCAAGCTGAAGTCCTAAGTCAAGATATTTTACTTCCTGAATGCACCACTGGTCACATTTGGAACCATAGCATTAAAACTAAACCACCTGCTGGCAAAGACTTATTTGTGTTTAATATTGAATTTAGTTCCAGGTTATGGTAGAACAGATATTTGTCCATGTCTCTATGTGTTTGCTTTTAAAATTCAGTCTGTGTTTCTGTGAGCTTGTGAACTAACCCAGAAAAGTAATCTGCCTAAAGCAGCCTATTTAACAGATATGAACTATCAGCCCCTGCAGAAACAGCCTGTGCATTAGGTTCCTGGGGTGGTAATAGCTGCCTGTGAGAGAATTTGCGTGACTGTCTGTAAATAGGATGTGCACCACTATATCTGCAAATGTTATGATAGCAAGATTAAGGAGTGTTAGTCACAAGGATTAAGAGATTTTTATCCTCACCAGTGGTTTTCAAACTCTGTCCTCGGGACCAACGTCCTGCATGTTTAAGATATAACTCTGCTTCAGCATACCTTGAATATTAAATGATTACATTTGTTCCTCCTCAGCAGCCACCAAAGGCTGCAGAGGCCTTTTAATATGTGGAGATGGTGAAATAAATACCTAAAACATGCAGGGTTATTGGTCCTTAGGATGGAGTTGGAAAACCACTGATATAAAAAAAAATGTGGAGCTACAGGTGTGCAAATGTGTTTAAAACACATTGTTGTTTCAAATAGAGCTAAACATTTAAAAGGTGCAGTCTGCAGATATTCCTATTCAGTAGCTTTTGCAAACATTATGATTATTAAATGTTTGAATTGCTTCAAGTGTAAAAACACTCCTCAGAAATGATAGTGCTACTGTGTAAAGAAAACTCAAAGCCATTTTCATTATCACTGAGCTGTTATAAAAGAAGTAAGAAGCACAGAGATCTAAGAGGCTAGTAAAAAGAACATATCGAGATTTGTCTGTAGTTTGTGCAGACAAAAGACTGAAAGAGCAAGACATTTAACAGCACCAGGAAGACTAACTAGTGTACAACAAAGATGTTCTGGTTTAAACTTTTTGGCCCTCTATCTCTGACTGTAATGACTTACATTTACTCAAATAACTGCTTTCTGCAAATCTCAGGGCTAAGTACAGCTCGATATCTTGTAAAAGAATCACATTAATATAAACATCCTATCTGTGCTAATTGAGTATGTATAAACTGAACTTTTTTTCTTTTTTTTACCTGTCTTAAGAGTGGAAGGACCACTTGCTGTCACACTGTAGACTTGCAAAAACTCTCTTGGCCTGCTGCCTCCAACTATGTTGAAACCAAAGCCTCTGGAGCCTTTGATCAAGTGTGCATGGATAGGGAAACCCCTCAGGTCCTCAGGCTGGTCCGTGAACCCTGGTGACCACCAGTGCAAGGAGAGAAAAGCACACAGAGGTGATGATAGAGACGTCAGGATAAGAACTTGTCACTAGACCGAAAAAAGAAAGTGGAAACAGTCCAAGGTTTTTATACACAGTCTAGTGCTCAGAATTGGTAAGTTTCCCTTCATCACTGTGAACCAATCCACCAGATGGCTTTTAACAAAATGCTACACAACCCAAAGCATATTGCGGAGAGATTGCTTTAAAAGCAGAGTCCATTACTGAGTATCTGCTAAGTTAAATCATAATCCATATGCTTGACCAACCTCTGCAGAGATTTTCAGGTCACTTTTTTACTTACTTTCATATGTTACAGTGTATCAGCAAAGCTATAAACTGCAGTTTGGATTGTGCATAATTCCCAGGTTCCCCTCTTATATGAAAGCATGTGTGTGTTCTAATTTCAGACATGCATGATATTACGACATATTAAAGCAGAATTCACCCAAATCACCCTGACCTTCAGATGTCAATGTTCAAAACGTATGCAATATTGCCTTCTGCTGGTTAAAAATGGACACTACACTAAAAATATGTGAGCAAAGCAATGCAACTGGAGTATTTTTCCTGTCCATGTTCCTGTGATCACAGATAGACATCCTAAATGGCCTTTTTTTTTTCAAAAAGCAGATTACGATGCCCATCACATGTTCTCCCCATGTTGACCCTGCCAGCCTGTGCAGCAGGTCTGGCCCATCTCCAGCAGCTCAGAGCTTTCGGCGTTAATCACTTACATGCCTCTGTTAACCCAAAAGCTCATTCAATCTCGTTCAATCTCATTTGACTCAAACAAGCCTGTGACTTCCGAGCATGATAAATTTGCAGCTTAATTTAGCATGTTTAACTGTTAAATATGTCACTTGGATGCTGGTAATTGTGAGTGAGAGAGAGACAAAGAAAAAAAAGGAGAGACAGGAAAGAGAAAACAAAGACGCTCACATTCATTTTTGTAGTTCATCTCTCTGCTTGAGGCATGAGGGCCCAGCCAGCTGGTCCTCCTAGGGCTGCGCCTTGGATGGATAAAGAGGCAGAGGATCAGCCACAGTTTTAAGTACATTTAAAATACTGAAAAATAGAAAAAAAAGTAATTTTTCTTTCAAATTGAAATAAATAAATGTGTATTCCAACATCGATCTATTGTCTATAAACAATGGATGGATCTACAGCATTGAGAAAGAGGGGGGATACACTCTGGAAAGGTTACAGTCACATATTAGCAGAGTAGTAGAGTACCCAAAATTGCACTCAAGTAAGAGTAGCACTAATCTAACATCTTTATACTAAAGTAAAAGTAAAAAGTAGTCATCCAAAAAATTACTCAAGTAAAAGTAAAAAAGGATTTTAGTATAGAGGCTACTTGAGTACTGAGTAATTGTTGTAAACTAACATTAGATTTAATGTTTGGAAATTATGATGGCAAACAACCTTTATGTACAAGTTCAGGTATTTTAGATTGAAATGCCTAAAGAATACAAATACATGTAATGAATATAACAGAACCAATTCTTGCAGAAGAAATACTATTACCAGTTCTTTTGAAACATAAAACGAATTTCCGCTGTTAATATCTGTTTACTGTATGTTTACCTGATTTTGGAATGGATCAAATTACTCAGAGGACATCTGACTACATTCTGTGGTAGTCAGATTTTACTTAAGTGGGAATATTTACAGGAATAATACTAAAGGAAAAGTAAGACGTACGGCACAGTAAACCTACTTTTTTTTTTTTTTTTTTTTGAACAAAGACTTTATTTTATCAGATCAATATTAGAAATCAATGATTCATACAATAAGCCAGAAACAACAATTTCCAATACAACCATACAAAAAATTGGGTAACAACAACCAAACAAGTTGGCGAGCTGAAGATCCATGTTTTGTTTTTGTTTTTCCTTTTTCTTTTTCTTCTTTATTATTATCATATATATTTTTATTTTTTTATTATTATTATTATTTATTTATTTTTTTTACTTGGAGGATGAGACAAAGGAAAGATCTTTCTCGAGTGACTTCTATTTTTATCATAACAGAGATATATGTTAAGTATGCAGTAAACCTACTTTTAACAGTAAATGTTTTTTTTTTTATTTGTTACTCAAGTTAATGTAACTGAGTAAATGTAACTAATTACTACCCACCTCTTCCTATAAGTCAACATGGAGAAACACACAAATTTGACCTTTTTTTTTTTACTATGCTTTTTTGGTACTATATACATTCTTTTTATATTGTCTGTCATATTTTTTATCTTTAATGGCATCTTGCTTAAACTCTTTGCACTCTATAACAGCTAATGGAACCAGAATTTCCCTGAAGGAGTAATCCCAAGGGATTAATAAAGTTGAGTCTAAGTCTAGTCAGGCGAGTTGACCAATATTCATTGGGCTGTGAAGGAAAGCTGGAGTACCCAGAGAGAACTAGTGTACGCACAGGGAGAATCTCCCAAATTCAATACAAAAAGACCCCTGGCATTTAAAACCAGGATATGCTAGATGCAAGGGAAAGTGGCTTCTAACTGTGCCACAAGGCAACTATTTATGTAAACAGATCATTACTTTTCTTGAATTTTGCTTTCAATAAATCACTTTCTTAATACATGACTCAGAAATTATATAATAGGAGGCGAACCGAGATGCTGATGAGTAAAAGCCGAGAAACATTTTGTGCAGTAAGTAGACTTAATGGTCGCTTTAAAATGTTTTCATCTCCTTCTATGACTTTTGTGGATTTTATCCAAGTTGAATGTCCTTTAAAATGATTTGGATGACTTTCAAAGGAGAGAAACAGAACTAGTCTGCTCCACGTTTCTCTCAGATGACCAAGCTCCTCATTCTACCTCTCAGGCTCAGACCCATTCCAGAAAATCTTATTATTGCAATGATTTTCATATATGCTCTTATCATTATTTTCAGTGGATTTACTGATTCACTAATGCAGATCATCTTTTATGGTTTCACTGCAGATATTGGTGGGAAATTGAAAAAGGAAAACGATTATCCTTAAATCTTCACGAACACAATTTCTTCCTTCCAAGACTTCTAAATACCACCTTAGATAATGTCAACTCTTTATACACTTCAAACACAAGATATAATTGTTTAAATAATATTATTATAATTATTATGTTATTCTTATTCACTTTTATAAGGTCCACATTTGTGTGACTATTTTACCTATAATCTTTTTGCTGCTGTAACACCAGAATTTCCCCATTGTGTATGGCGGATAAAAAGTGCCAAAATTAAATAAATAAATACAGCATTAAATAAATAATTAAATGTGTCAATAATAAATTAAATGTGGAATTAAATAGATAAACGTGTCATTCATTAATTAAAACCACATCACTAATATAAAGTGCCACAATTAAATAAATAAATACAGCGATAAACAATTAATTAAATGTGTAATTCATTAAATAAATAAGGAATTAAATATATAAATGTGTCATTAATTTAATAAAATACGTCTTCATTTTATTAAAAAAATATATATAATTATTTCAGTGTGCATTTAATTATTTCATGGTCCTCTCTTGCAGTGCATCGAAACCATTAAAAGAATCTGTCAAACTCACCCATCAAAGTTAGGGGGCGGGGTTAACGCGAATCGAGTCGCCACCTACTGTATCAGAGTATGTTCACAACCTGTGGATCACAGTCTCTGTAATCGACTTGCTTCGCCTTAATATGCAGGGTGACCAATCGGGTGTTAGATAACCGCCTTATTCCTTATTTATTTAATGAATTACACATTAAATTAATTGTTTATCGCTGTATTTATTTATTTAATTGTGGCACTTTATATTAGTGACGTGGTTTTAAATAATTAATGACACATTTATTAATTTAATTCCACATTTAATTAATTATTGACACATTTAATTATTTATTTAATGCTCTATTTATTTATTTAATTTTGGCACTTTTTATCCTCCATAATTGTGGGACAGTAAAGGGATTCTCTATTCTGTTCTATTCTATTCTATTCTATTCTATTCTGTAAAACCCTTTTCCTTTTCCTTTAATGTAACTAAACTAAAACCAGACTATTGTTTATTCTAATTCGAAGCAAAGTAATGTGACCTAACACTAATAGCTGGTTAGCACGCTACTATAAAAACACATCTAAATACTAACTATTTAAACTTAATTGGTTTTAAGTATTTTAGAGTAAAAGAGAAAAATATATGCAAACACTTTTTCATTCATGATTCACTCAATGCTTCACATAAAGCAAGAGCATAAACATAGATAAATGACCAGGATGACAATAGACTTTTTGAAAGTATGAGAAAAAACTGTTTTATATTATTATAAACAGATTTGCTGTAAATTTGGAGAAGATGTTGGATGTGAAGAGATGGATGGATTGGAAGTTAATGGTTCAAATTGGATTTTGCTTTTGGCTCAAATAAGCTTAGGCATTCAGTTTTCATGGTAAATGAATGAAATAAGGGGAAAACGAAAGCAGCCTGCTGGAATTATAAAAACAAATGAGCGGGCATTTGTTTGTAAATTATACTTCCAAAAAGAGAACAAACTAATTAAATTAAAGGAAATATTGATGTGACATTCCTGCATTACGCACTGAATAGAAAGCATCTCACTGACTGGAGACATGCAAAAATACACAGTACCGGAGGGTTGATTATGTTTATTCAGTGTTTTTCTCAGGATCCCATTATTAATCATGTGTTCTGTGTTCAGAGTATGGTTTTAGGGAGTTTCTTTCCATGGATCAACATATTTAACCCTTTATTTTTCACATCTTCTGTCTCAGTTGACCTGTGTTAGAATTACCTTACACATGGCCTCTACTAATTATACCTTTGGGATAATACCTCTCAGTGTTATTTGTTCTGTACCATGTTATCTATATTTGTAGTTTTAACCCTTTAAAGCCTGATCCAAGAATAAAACAAAACAGAAAATAATTTTTTTTTGGTTTGAATTCCTTATTTAACAAAATATGTAAAAAGAAAAAACAGAAATACATTTTTGATATTAATAATTTATTACTATGCGATAAGTCAAGATTATTTTTTGTGTAGTCTTCTACTGGCTGTTATCAGGTATATCTGATTGTGTACAATAGGATTTTGAGCAACGTTTTTACCATTAAATTATGCAAAATGTGTCAGACGCAAAACATTTCAGAAACCGTATGTATCAAATACAACACATTTGGCATTATATGGTTAATTTACTCATGTGCTTCTGTTTGCTGGTTGGATTTGCATTGGTTAGCTGATCTGGTATCCACCATCTGAGCCCCTTTCTCCCAATAAATCATCACCATATTTGGGCATTTGGGGGAATCACGTTTTTATTCTGCAGGACAAAATAATAACTCAGTTTTAGTCAAGTATAAAGGCAAACATTTACAGTGTGAGTTTTGATATTAACCAAAGAAGCCTCAGGATATCTTTAGCCAGATGGACATATGGGCTTAATGGGCAGAAAATGCATCTGGACCAGGGCTTTTCTTTCCTCTTTTTTATCAAATCAGTGCTCTAAACTGCAACCTAATGTTTTAATTAGCTGGCAGCCGTAGTAACTAGTTACTTTTACTTCAGCATGTTTAAGAAAATACTTTACTCAAGGGGGCTGGTTTGTTACATCCGACTATCACAAGCATAAATGTTTTGAATTTTTTTAACTCTGCTGAGACTTTTCATCTGGAACTGGAGTTTATTCCTATTAATTTAAAGTCAAGGTGTTGACCACAAACATGTACCGTAAGTCAGATCTTAAACAAAGGGTAGTTTTGCCCTCTGTCAGGTATGGAGGAGATTCTATGATGCTGTGGGCCTGTTTCTTTTCCAAAAGCCATGTTGACCTGATTAGAGAGGAGGGGATTATACAATCCTTGGAATATCAGGACCCTTAAAATTAAATCCAGCTTTAATCCACCTGTAAATTGTAAATGGGTCAACTGTCTTCAGAGGCTATTTAGGTCCCCTGACTAAGATCCCATTAAAAAAACAATACACTGGGATCATGAGGGATTATTGCTTCTCAAACAAAGGATGGTGTTTCCTATTCCTTAAGCAGAAACAATATACACATGAATATAAAAGGGAAAGAACACTTTTTTTTTTACTTTTGCCAGATTTGTTTGGTGAATACTCACTCTATGTAAAGTGGTTCTCCAGGGTCACTGAAGGCCTGCTCCCAGTGATCATACATCATGCCTCTGATTCTGGCACCTCTTCTGCTGCCGATGATCCCATTCTCTAAGCCATGACCCTCACCTCCGCTGCTGGACGCCCGCGGCCGACCAGGGGACCGATGCCCAATAGGAATGCCTACTCCTGCAGAGCCTCCTGTAGTGACTAAAATAATAACATGAACTTAAACAATGACACATCCAACAGATATGAAGAGAGGAAAGTTTCTATGCAAGCGAAACATATTGATGTTTGCTCTGACAACTCCTGAAGTGTCAGCATCTATGCCATTTCTGTCCGCCCACTGAGGAGCACGGCTGTGTGGCCATGCATGTCACACAACAAGCAGAATAAAAATCAGCATATATTTTTTTTCTTCCTCCGTCCTTGTAGTTGTCCTTCAGCCTTCAGCTCCAACATGGATCGGAGAGATCTCGGACACTGGGGGCGCCTGAAGTCCTGCTGTACATGACAAGTACTGCCGAGAAATCCACCCACAAAGTTACACTTCAAAAGATGACTCAGCAGAGATCAGAGTGTTGGATGACTCTCTCCTCAGACTCCATTCTGCCCCCATCCTGAATTCACCCCCCACTGGTCCCGACTGCCGGCCGAACCTTCATAACTATCCTTCTTTAGAATTATCTGGATGTCTGCCTGCCTGCATCGTTCTCCACCCACTCCAGGCTCCACTCTCCTTTTCCTTCTGCAGCACCCTGGCAACTTGCCTCCCCTCCCAAAACCAGCTTCCTTTGGGATTTCTTATGCTTACCAGACAATGTATATTTTTCCTCACCTATTGTATAAAACTATTGCTTTGAATACAGCTTATAAACAAGGTACTCTAAAATCATTGTAATTATAAAGATTTTTGTAAAAGGTCCAGCTTCTTTCTGTTTGTGCATTTATGGTTGTCACTGTATGACAGGGACAGCAATGCATTCGACACTAGCTCTGGTTGTACACTGCAAAAACGGTCTGAAAATTAGTAAAAATGTCTTTAAACAAGTGTACTTACCTTAAATTTGAGCAAGAAAATAAGATGATCTGTCAATGGAATGAGCATTTTTACCCTTAAAATAAGATAAATTAGATATTATGCACTTGAAGTAAGAGAATATAGTTGTTTTTTCTTATTTTAAATGGAAACTGTCTTATTCCATTGGCAAAGAGTCGTACTTACCTGCTCAATTCAAGAAGAAATGCACTTGTTTTAGGAAAAATTTACTAACTTAGATTTACATTTTTTGCAGTGTATTTTTAATATTTTACTTGTACTCTTCATGCTGAGAGCAGTGGCGCCTCCAGAAATGTTTCATGGGGCGGCCAGATGGGGCCACTAAAAATCTTGGGGTGGCACACTGAAACTAAAAGCCATAATTTCAGGGTTTGAATCTACTATTGTGGTAAATCTGCCTGTAGAAATCATAAAGACTTATGTGAACACCTACTTATATCTTGGTTTATTGTGTGATTTTTAATGTTACACCGCTGGCTGTGCATAATGAGATGAAGTGCTAAACTGATGCTACTACAATTTACACAGGCCAGTGGGCACCCCTGGCCACCCCCTGGTGGTGCCACTGGCTGAGAGGTGAAAACCCTCTCCAGCCTAAAATATTTTACAGTTTCCAAGAGATTCTCTTCCTTCGTTGTTGTGTATTAGATAAAATTTTCCCTTGAACTCTGACAGGTTTCTCAGTCTACAGAGAAGCATAAATAAAGCATGATGCTACTACCACTATACGTTTAGGGTGACGTAGGATTGGTGTTAGCTCTTTCCTGGCACTAATGGCCTGATTCATTTCAGGTTTGCTTATCTTAAAATTGATGCAAATTTGCTTGCAGATGCAGAGCAGATCTTCAAAGAAGGTTTAAAGTGATTTAGGTTTGATTTAGTGGTGTAGGTTTGCAATTCAGCAGAGTGTGTGCAAACATTTCTTGCTTGTTTGCCTTCATTAGCATTCAAATGACCGAACCGCTCGAATTCATGGGCGGAGGGTATGCAGGTGTAAACATTTACTACATGCAAAGTGATTTTCCAAATCAGAAACTCAACTGTGGCTGCAGAAAGTCAAACTGACACAAAAAATATCTGCAGTCATTTTTGCCGTAGAACGACGCATGGGTAAAATGCCAGAGGATGCAGAGGGATTCTGTAAACACATTTGGATTGTTAGAAATAACAGAAGAATATTAACAAAGCAAAAAAACATCTACTTGTTGGTTAAAATTAAAGCAGTTGCAAGGCAAACAATCTTTATGGAAATAAAAAAAATAGAAAAAAATAATGACTGACTAAAATAATAGGCTATGACATTTTTATAGTAAAGGACATCTAAAGAGATGTGTTTGTGTGTGTCTTCTTGTATTTGATACATTTTGTGGCCCATTTCTGGAGAACATAGCACATTGTGGGGGCCAAGTACTGCTCATTGTGGGGCCTGATGCCTGAACCCCATGAGAGGAATTACTGTTTCAGGGACAGGGGTCACCTTTAGGACTAGAATGTGAATTTAGTTAGGGTAGGTGTATTTAATGGTTAGATGTAGGGTAACAGTGGCGTAAATATCGGTAAGCAGTTGCTTAGGGGCCCCGTCACTGACTCCTGGTAGGCCCCCTATGCAATTCTGGAATAGGATGTCTCTTTGCAAATGTAATGGTGAGAAAAATTCCTATTTTACCCACCGGATGCTAAACTGTCTGACCGGACCGTATTTATACCGCAACATGTGCCAGATTTCAACATGATGGTGAGCCATTTAAACACAACTCCAATAGCAAAGCAGACAGTGGTACTTTTAATTACTCTGTTAATAACTGTGTATAGTTCATTAGATGGTTGGTAAAAAAAAAAAATGCTCTTATATAAGGTTTCAAACCGCAAAAAAGATCTTAAAAGAAAGATTTATTTTATTTTTTATACTACGACTTGGAATTATGGGTAATCCAGAGCGTAGATGTGTTAGCAACGATGGATAAAGAAGAGGTACTTAAGCGAATTCCAGAAAAGAAAAAGCAAATAAGAGCTGCTGGAAGAATGGAAAAACTTCCCAAAATAAACACGTTCTTTTAAAGAACCGAAGAGGGAATAGTGGACGTTGCTGCTACAGTGACTAAAGATTGCGACCAGGAGATGAATGGAGAGAGGGTGGGCGAGGAGGGGACCGTGAAGCTAAAGGTAGCCCAATAAGACTCATTTTACAGCAGAATATACTAGGGATGGAACTCCAAGGCAGAAGGTGGCGGTACTGCGACCAAAGCCAACCACCAGTAGTAAACAACAAGAAGAAAAAGCGAAGCAGCGTAGCCGGGTGTAGCAGAAAAAAATCATTTGTTGTGGAGAATTTATAGGTCTGCTGTATGGGACCACTTTGCATTTAGAGTGACCTACGATGACGGCGGAAAGAAAGTTGTGGATAAAAGTGCAACAGTGTGGAAGCATTGTGCAACACGTTTTGTTTATGCTAACAGCAACATGACCAACATGTCAGGCTAACCCTGAAATCCCACATACTCCGTCAGCGCCCCGCTCTGCCCCGTGACCACGAAACCGTGAACTGAACCGAACCGTGGATTTTGTGAACCGTTCAACCCTTAGAATATACTAAAGTATATCCATGTCTAATGAAGGTGCAGAGTCATGAAGTGTGCATGGTTGTCTACGGCGGCTGTACTTCGTATGGGGCCCAGCCACATAATGTTGCTTACGGGCCTATTGTTGTGTCGTTACGCCATTGTAGAAATTTGACTGTAGAAATTTGTTATAAATGAATGCCACTGAAAATATTAAGAGTGTAATTATTTTCCTCCATGCACATGGCTTTGAACCTCATCTTCTTTCAAACTGTCAGTAGAACAGACAATCTTTTCAATTTGATGAGCCGAGCCAAATTTTGAACGTCTTAACTTTTCATGTACTAAAAAATTGGATGTGCAATTTATTTTCTCATTTCTAAAACCTTTGAAGATCAAACCCTAAGAGTTTGCATTTAGATCTGTTAAAAGTGTTATTCTTGTTTTATTTCGTTCTATATATCTTCAGGCATAAATTGTTTATAAAACCATCTGGGATGAACGGGTTAAATAGTCGTGTTCATGATCTGCTGCAGATTTTCAAAACCAGTCAGCTTTTTTCATTCCTGTTAGGAAACTAAATATGTTTCAACACATTTGAACAATCAGCCTTTGATTCTACATCTAATAGATGAAACATAAGTAATATATAATATAATTGGATAAGATAGGTAGTAATCTATTATTTAATTTTATTGAAACACATTTAGTATAGCTTCACACCACATGACTTTGCTTTTTTTCTTCCTCTACCAGTTTATTATTATATTTTTTGCTCTCCAATCTGCTTAGTCTTTTCTTGTTTTAAGGCACTGAAGACAAAATGACCTTCTTTTGTACAGGAGCCAACAATCAATGAGGCCACAGCTCCACTGAGAGTTTTCAGCATACTAATTGTCCTAATGATTGATTTATTTGGGGATCAGAGACCCCAGCTATAGATACAGGGACACTGGAAACTGTACAGAGTTTACCAATAAACAATATATATTTTGTTATTAATCTACCTCTGAACATAAAAATACAAGTTATTGACTTTTTCTAAATGAAGAACTAATTAACACCTATGTTCTTCACACATATTTAATGTAGCTTAGCATTGCAACACTTGCCTAAGTCGTCTTCGCTGTTTATGCCTTCGTCTACAGCCTTTTCCAGGTTGCTGAGGGATTTGCTGCGTGTGCGGAAGTTTCTCAGCAGATTACGGTGTTCCTGGTAGGTGATGGGGGGGCTCTCTGGACCTATATGAACAGGCCGAGGTGTGCCGTAGTAATTCCCTGAAATAAATGAGAACAGAACGTGGAAAAGCGGTCTTAATGCGAGCAACAAGCAAATAAAACAGCCATAAAAAAACCTTATTGGAGGATATACATTTATTTGGAACAGAGGTTCACAAATCACAGCTGGTGTTGTAAATCAAACCTACTTAACACATAAAGGACTGGCATAAAACAATAACGTCATTTCTTCCTGCTTTGTTTGAATCAATGAGACATTATAGTCATATGCAATTATGTACATTTACAGAATAGGTTACCGATGGCTCTATGTACTTTATGTATCTCCTGAGAATATCCACTTTTTTTCTTAAAGCCATCTGCTCCCGCTTCTAAAAACAAAATTACATTATCCGTACCACCGCCCCCCACCTTCCACCCATTTGGCTCGTAGGGATACAAATGGGCTGAGGGGGAAATATTAGATTAGAGAACTAAACAGCAAGGTCACCAGCCGTCACCATTTACTGCGTATTCTGCAGGCTCCAGCATGCAGAGCGCTGCTGATACTGCTGACACTGATAGCGCTGTGCATGTCAATGTCAGATGTGAGGCAGGTGAGGATGACATTTATTGGTCCTATTAAACTCATAAATTATGGATGCTAATGCATGGAGGTTTTTTAATCAAAGGTAAGCCTCTGATCCCTACAGAAGAATGGAAATATGAGCAGAACGGCACTTGATGCCAGAAATATACACTAAGAAACTGATTTTTTTTTACTTGCTGTGAAGGTTTTTTTTTTTTATTGGAGTAAATATGTAAAAAAATCAGGTGAACATTCTCAGTCATCCAGATCATAGTCATTCCAAAAAAGCAAAAAAAAAAAAAAACATCCACTGAACTTGATTTCTAAGTTTGAAGACGTTTCAAAATGTCAGAATTAGCTTTGATTTCAAAGCTTTATATAGTAGCCAAAAAACTTGTTTTGGCTTAAAAATCATGCAAACTAAACCAGAAGAACGGGGCCGCCCCTTAGGAATGGGGAGTTGTTTGGGTTCTTTGTTAGCCTGCAATACCTGATACTGGTCTGTGCCTCTGAAAGGAAGGTTGTTTAGTTTGTGGGGCAATTGTTGGTCTGGCTGACCAGGTGAGATGTTTTTGTCCCCTTCATGGAGGTTGAGATGATAGCAGCAAGGAATCAACTCTATCGCTGAATTGTAGGCTTTTGAGAGCTGTTAATTCTGCTGATTCTGATGCTAATTCTGAAATTTTGAATTGAAAAAGCTTCCTGGACAACCTATTCTCATTATGAGTGCGTGTGAAATCGTACGAAAAGTTATGCACCGTAATTTCGTACGTTTTGGACGTTTTTTTCGTCGTATGCGCATGCGCATCTGATGCACCATTCACAATATAGAATATAAATTACAATTAGCCCTAACCCTGACCCTAACCCTAACCCTAAGATATAAAACAGCAAGCAATGTAGTTAGAGACATGAATAAGTGATGATAACACTGTTTTTCCCAGTTTTACGTCCGTCCGCGTATCTGCTTTTTTTTCCTGTCTGCCAGCGCATGCGCACTGATGTGTTTTTTTTTTTTGAGGAAAAACGTCCAAAAACGTACGAAATAGTGTGCATAACTTTTCGTACAATTTCATACGCACTCATATAAAGAATATGTTGTCCTGGATGGGAAGCGAAACGTCTTTAAACTTGGAAATAAGTAAGTAAGTAAGTAAACTTTATTTGTATAGCACTTTTCACAGACAAAGTCACAAAGTGCTTCACATGATAACATAAACACAACACAAGTAAAAACAGATAAAATGCAATAAAAGCTATAATAAATAAGGGAATAAAACAACAGGCTATGTGCTTTGGAAGGCTAGTGAAAACATGTGTGTTTTTAGCTGTTTTTTAAAGATGTCCACCGAGTCCAGAGAGCGCAGGGACAGGGGGAGTTCATTCCAAAGACGGGGTGCCACCGCTTTAAAGGACCGGTCTCCTCGGGTTTTAAAACGGGTCCGAGGAACCATAAGCAGGTTTTGACCTGAAGACCGTAGACTACGGACCGACGTATACGGCTGGATCAGACCTGTCATGTAGCCGGGCGCCTGTCCATGAAGGGCCCTGAAAGTAAGGACCAGGATTTTAAACTTTATCCTGGAAGCAACAGGAAGCCAATGTAGGGACTTCAAGAGAGGAGTTACATGGGCTGTCCTATTTGTACGGGTCAGGAGTCTTGCAGCAGAGTTCTGGACAATTTGTAGGCGACCCAGCTCCTTCTTGCTCAGACAGGTAAACAGGCTGTTACAGTAATCCAGTCTTGAAGAGACGAAGGCATGGATGATTCTCTCCAAATCATCGTGAGAGAGGATTTTCCTTACCTTGGAGATATTGCGCAGATGGAAGTAAAGTCCAGTGGATGTTTTTTTTTTAGCTTTTTTGGAATTCTTTTTCTTTATTTCAAGTTAAAGTTATTCAAAGTCAAGTTATTTGAGAACTTAAGCAACTTCACTTTACAAATCAAACTAAATGTTTATCTGCGGGGATTTTGTCCAAATGAATCATTCTTGAGGGGATAGATTGGGATAATATTAGAGGGGAGGGATCTGGTTTAATTCTTTAATTCTTTAATTCAACATGATTCTGTTTGATAGATACCAAATTCATCTTCATATATTTTAAATAATTGTTTTTTTCCTGCAATATTCTCTAATTTATTAATAGTAATGAACTATTTAACATATCTTATACAAGCATATTTTGTTGGTAAATTATAGCACATTCTACACATTGTGTTTACATTACATCAAAATGTAAATGCAAACAAAACAAAAAAGAAAAAGACTGACAAGCAATTATTTTTATTTTTGATGTAAAAAACCTCTAAATCAAAACCTAGAACCTGTTATTTAAGGTCAGCTGATTACAATATATGCCGTTAATATGATTTTACAACCAAGCAGCTTCTGATATCACATCAAATAGGGAGAGGAAGCGGGCAGAATGACGTCTATGTTGCTGCTGTAAAGAAGTCAGTAGTTATTTGGCAGGCTACGGCTGAGATCCTGAAAGGCTATCGCTGCCTGACTGAGATGGGAATCAGTTCAAAGCAAAGAGCCATTAAAAAAAAAAATTTGTTTTTTTATGCAAGTCACTCAACACGATTGGCTTTATTTTGATCATTTTCATAATAAAACACCTAGAAGAGAGAAATTAAGAAAAGAAAGAAAAGAAATATGTGCAAAGAGACACTTATAAAATCTTTTGGGAAATAAAAAAAAATATTTTATAAGTGCCCTATAAAAGCAATTCACATTCTAATGGGCTTCTAAATATTTTTTTTCTGTTAAAAAAAGGAAACCAAATCTTCCTGTTCTTCCCACTTCCAACATTGCTCACCAACACACAGTTTAGGTGGCTGACTTTGGAGGCTAAAATTAACGTGTACTTAACGGCAAAAGTTTGCAACATTAAATCAAAATCAGTAGCCACAACTCAATAAAATACATTGCCTGTAAATATATCTGTGCGCAGTGCACGTTGGTTACCAGTGTAGTGCTTTGTTATCAGTAAACAATAGCTGTAATGCCATAGGGGCACAGTAACAAGAAATCAGCTGAACTTGGTAAAGAGGAAAGCCTTAGTCTGTATTTAATCCTGCCTAATGTTTTAGCTGAATGCTGCTTTTTTAATTTAAATAGCTTTTAGTAAAAGATCTGGAAAAACATTTTATTTGCTTCCCCACAGCTTTATATACTTTGATTATATTTGATTTGTGTCTGAATCCTCATAATCATTTCAGAAAATCCTGTGAAGAAAGGAGAACATTTCTAAAAGTTTACCCTCACCTTTGAATTTTCCGCTCTCCAGCAGCGCTCCGGACTCTTCCAAAGAGAAAAACTCTTCCACGGAGACAAAGTTGTAGTCTACCCCTGATATTTCCCCATCTCTGGGATGTCTGGTTGTACCTGTGATAAAGGACATGATGTCAGACTTCAGAGAGATGAAGCTACATATAAAGTGTGCTGTGACATGGGTGATGTATGGGTTAATCAAAACCCTCTCCTCCAATCAAGGGTCATCAATCTGAGCTCAGTGTTCAGACAAGCTGCAGATCAGCAAACTATAAATAATCAATCTTTGACAAATGGTGCAAAATGTAAAAATTACACTCTGAAAAAAAATTTTTGTGTTTCATTATCCCAACAGAAGATCCACAATCAAACCAACCTTTGGCCGTTTGTATGACGATAGCAGGCATTTACCAAGCTTCTTTATTATGAAAAGATCAATAAGAAGTGGATCAAATATTAATGAGACACTGGGAAAGTCTTAAAGTGTTTCTGCCACCATTGCATTGGTGGAGCACTTAGATGATCAACGATCTGTCATCATAATTAATTCACATCGACCTTGGCCTGGAAGAAAGCAGAGAGGGCTGAGCATCCTGCACGATACAGGATCACAATGTTGCTTTATTACAACTCACACTGCAGATTTCCACATGGCAGTATGCAAGCAGAGGCATGCAGTGTGAAATATATCACTTTTTTTATGTTTCCCATTAAGCTACTGGAGTTGTTTTAATTTGCAAATTGGACTGGAGAGCACCCAGTCTGACCTTGAAACACGTCCTGTCTTTGCTTCAGACAGAATCCCTTCAAAGTAAAGACAAATCTTCGTCCTTTCCCCGGAGGACCGCATGTGATGTCTGTGTGTGGGGGGCAAGCAGGATGAAGTCACACCCAGCTACCCTATAAAACCTGTGATTAATGCACTGCTGTCCTGGGAGCAGCTCTCACAGCCACAATGACACAAGCAGGACTGCACTGAGCATTCTCCCACACACAAACATACGCTTAAGACCGGAAACAAACAAAACGAGGGAATTCACACACTGCGGCCGGATCTCACAGGTAGCTACACAAAACCCTGGACAGCTCTTCCATCAACCTGCCCTATTCCCTCTGGAGCACAAAGTGTGTTTACTTTGCAATCAGTTCTGGCAGTCTGCCATTTGGGCTTCGTCCAGCAGTTAATACTTGTAGTCTTTGTCTCACCAAAATCTGTAAAATCTGTCCAGTGGTTTGATTTTATGCGAGTGCAGGAACAAAGGGGCGGACATTATTAAATCATAACAAGAAAACACTTTGCAGTGGCAGCAGAAAAAAAAAATACAAGTGAGAATCAGAGGTAATAAAAAAAAGATATTTAAAGGGACACAATTATGCTAAAAATTAATAATTACAATTTCAATAATAAGATTATTATTATTAAGGTAAATAAAGTTAGATGGCAACTTCAACTAATAATGTTTAAATGGCAAAATCAAAGGCACTATAAACAAATAAGAGATTTAACCCTAAGTTGAATTTTTTTTTTATTTTTTTTTTATGGTTTAAACATTTTTACAATTTTCAGAAATTTTTTTAACGGATTACTTGAGCTAAAGGACTAAAAGCTTAAAATTGCCTGCATTAACTTGCAAGATTTACTGTTATTTTACAAAGAATTAATGGAAATGCAGCCTTCCTGTAGCTTGATAAACCAGACTAAATGTCAGATTAAATGTGTAAACTAGCAGGCAAAAATGATTTTGGCCGCATTGGCCGAATATCTGGAAAAACATAACAAATGCTAGCAGTTTAGTGGAACTGCCTCAATAACATTATTTTTCAGTGTTATACTTATTTTGTGACAAGTTAAAGCCCTTAAAAAAGCAAAAATATCACGTTCTTAAAGATCTAACTTGCTTGATTTTTTTTTTGTTACAAACTAAAAAAATAACACACTTTATAAATTTATTACAGTTCAGTGTGTTGATTAAGTTGACCCACCAGGCAGATACATAATGATGTAATTTAGTGTACAATGTTTTTAGATATGTCGTCTTTTCCCTTAACTAATTTGTCTTTAATGAATATTAAGCAGGTTTTGTTTGATAGTTGAACTCCCAATTGCATAAAAACTCACTCCATAGTTACTTTGCCTTATAATTATTTAGTTTGATGCAATAACTGATTTACAAAGCTGTAGTTATGAACTATAACTACTAACTGTTTAAAGTAACTTTTCCAGCACTGATTATTACCAGGATGCAGGTTCACCTTCCTTCAGAATATACTCTACAATCAGAGTAACGATGCAATGGTTTGCATTTAAGTCTAAGTATGTATTAGAAAGGCTCAGGCAAAGTGCAGGCGTAATACTCTGGTAAGTAGAGTTGCACCGATCCAGTCTTTATTGATCCGATCCCATACCTAAGCTGAACATATCGCCGATAACCGATACCGATCTGATTCAACTGGATTGAATGGATGTGAGTGAAAGCTGCAGCCTTTACACTGTTTAAAAAGGTAACAAAACAAATATAAATGTACTTTATATTATGTTTTTAACAAATAAACATTAAAAAGTAAGAAATAACAGCTCCATGTAAAGGTCACTGAACTGGATCTCCGTTATCCAAATCACCAACATCCGATCCATTTAATTAGATCCAGGTATTGGATTGGTGGATCTCTATGGATAAAACTGATGCTAAGAGGTTCTCATTTTAAAATAAGTGAAGCTGAACTCTATTTCTAGCAAAAGCAGGTAAAAACTGCAGGTTGTAGACATTTTAAAACCTTAATACAGATGCATCTCACACTTATCAGCTGCTTCTTTTTTTTTAAATATGCTAAAAACCATGTATCCTTTTCCTTCCTCCTCACAACAAAGTACTCTTTTTGTTGACAACCCTCCCACCATGTTTAGTTTGATTCAGTTTAATATATTCTTTAATAAACCCCTAATTCAAAACTCAAATGAAAGCACTTCAGTTAATTCTGTCCAATCATGCAAACAGGGTCAAAGTAAGTAACATACAACAATTTGACCTTAGTTACAAAACAAGGCAGGCAAGTTCAGTTAATTATATAAATTGTTAAACAGGAAACCCATCCGACTGCATCGAGTCACTGACTTGCACCAATAACTCTGCCTGGATGAGCATGCAGACACAACCTAAATGCAACCTTTGGTTGCATTTTCAAAGCTGCAGGAATCCTCTCTCACACAGAGGATGCAAAACACGAAAATAAAGGGGTCTCAATACCCTGTGATGCTATAAAACAACTTGTTTCACTTGCTGTCAAGCAGCTGGGATAGCATAATGCATGCCTCTTTATGCTTTCAAAACAATTGCTTCACCTTTAGTTTCTAAAACATCAAAATTAGTGCAATTGAAATTTAAATACCCATGATAAAAAAAAGATCAAAAGTCTTTGTGTCTAATTAAAGATCTGATAACAAGCTGTCTCATGACTTCTGACTTTTGTGTAATTCTTCTCCTACCCTCAGGACACACAGTATCTCTCCAGCCGATAGGTTCGAGGAAGGGAATCATTATCCATACACCCTCCTTGCAGTTATATATATGACATGTCAGTGGGGAGACAGAATGGATTATTGACATCTTCTTCTTCCCTGCCTGTCCCTGTAGGCGCCACACACACTGATCCCTTGCAACATGGGCGAGGGAAGGATTGAAGAGGTAATTACACAGAACTCTGTATCAACACCCAGAGAGCAATGTCTGTCAGGATCAACCAGGCATAAATAGCAAAAACAACGGACACCATGCAGCCTAAAAGGCCACAGACGGCTTGGCAGACATGCTGGAGGGAGCGTATTAGAATACGTTGAATGATAAAGTTCCTTATCTATGAGTCAGACAATTAGAAAAGTCTTTCATGGAGAAGATGAAGAAGCAGCCAGCCTTGAGAGAACGACTTTGGCTCTGAATCATCCAAGGGCACATGAGCAATACAGAGTGGTTATAAAAGAATGGATGGGAAAGCCGGCATAAAAAATGGTGAAAGTGACATTTGAAAAGCAGAAACCCAAAACAAAACAGTATAAATGAGAGGACATAATTTTTACATTACTTCAAATTTAGTCTCGGGGTCAAATGTTAAGGCAAAAGTTTATTTTGCAGACATTATTACCACTTTTCACCGGTGTGCACAAAGAGTAAGCTGAATCATTATACTTCATTAAAATACTATACAGTATATCAACTGGTTTTATTTAAATATCAAACCATTTTATTTACAAATAAATGAACTGTCTATTTACTGAATATTTGTAAGCAATTATTGTTTTACCCCTAATTAATGGGCGTTTCTCAATATGCGTTCTTGAGCGTTCTCGTGTGCTCGTGTGCTCGTGTACTCGTGACAGGTCATCAGCCTCAGCCCGAGTACCGTTCCAATTCTTGAGAACGCCAGATCGAGAACGCAACAAATCCCCGGATGTTGTTCTCGCCCCGCCCTCTTTATCGAGCATGCATCAGAGCAGACTTGTGCGTTCTTCAGACTGACCGCTTCCCCAGAATGCCCCGCGGCCGCAGCTTGATTCCAGACAGCGCTCACAGTGGTAAGTTAAACATTCCCTTTTCTGCAGCTGTTGTTCTTCAAAAGTACGTTTTGAAATTGTTTGAGGCGATAACATTATACATTGAAGCCTCCCTGTGTGGTCTGTTTACAGAGTTAGTGTGAAAAAAAAAAAAAAAGTCTGACGTTGAGCGGACCAGAGTGACCAGCAGACCTCCGAGGGTAACCGCAGCAAGGGCTAAATTTACCCCGTCTGTAGTGCACTTCTCTCGGTCTAGTTATGTGTGAACTACCGCTCGTTCTGATGGCGGTTTTTTGCGGTTCGGTAATTTTTTTTAATGTTTTTTACGCTTTAGAAATTAAAAATATTGTTTTCAAAATGTTTTGTGTAGGGAATAAATAGTTTTGACTGTTAAAGAAATGCTAAAGAACGTTGCATGTGATGACGTCACGAGTACGCTTCTGCTCCAATACACATACGTGCTTGTGTGCTCCCGTTCTCGTCAAGTCCGATCTTCCTGCGTTCTCGCCAAGAACGGACTTCACGCGAGTACGTACTCGCGTTCTCGTGAATTGAGAAACGCCCAAAT